GCGGTTTTTAAAAATCCCTTTTTAATTACTCTTAAAATAAGAAACCAAATGTGTTAAACCTGGTGTATTTAAATGATAATTAAGTAATTTTAATGCCATAAGAGACTAAGAGTTGTCTTTCATGTTACGTAACTTTTAAATTTGTGTACCGTCTAATGTGTTTCCTCATTCCTGAATAAAACCTATGTGTAAAGAAAAACAGACCACGCCTTGTTTCAATTCCAATGTATAATGAAGATTACATGAATGCAGATCACTCAAACCAATATCGCATGGCAAAACATATCCAACATAGCATAAGTATGTAGCCGAACTGGAAGTCCCGGGTTCGAATCTCGGTGCATAATTCTTCTCCTGTTACACATGTAGCGGAACTGGGCTCGGTCGACAGTTGGCGACCAGGTAGCTCAATTGTTAGAGCGTCGGTCTATAGTTCCGAGGGTCCCGGGTTCGAACCCCAGTATGCCCGTTGTATCTCTCTTTCTCCTGATACAAAATTGGCGAGCCTGCCAACCCTCGTTCCAAGCACTGGGTGCATGCTTAGCAAGGGGACATCCGAACCTGAGTTGCAAGCATGCAAATGGTTGTGTCTCCAGGGGGGAAGACTAAGAAAAAGGGGAGAGGAATGACGCGGAACTGGACGAGGTCGATCATCGGCGATCAGGAAGCTCAATTAGTAGGGCGTCCGTCTAGAGTTCGGAAGGTTGCATTTCTCTTTCCCCAAATTAAATTGAAATTGCATAAGAATTCATGTTACGTGTAAAAGTTTAAAAGTAAATCGATAAATTTTAACGAAAATGGCTGAAATTTCATATTCCTCAGGAGAGGCATATCTGCTGACAAGTACCCTATTGTAAGACATTCAGTCTCGAACCGCATGCCTGATTTTTTTATACGCCCGTCGAAGACGGGGACGTATTATGTTATCACGTGAGCGGGCGGGCGAGCGGGCGGGCGGGCGAACGATGTCCGCTCGATATCTTGAGTAATTATTAACGGATTAACTTCAAACTTCACAACAAGGTTAATTACCATGAAACCTCGGACAAGTTCGATAACCGCCATTATCCGACCATAATTTCTGGAGTTATGCCCCTTTACTTGCCGAAACAGTGTCCGCTCGATATCTCGAGTAATTATTAACGGATTAACTTCAAACTTCACAACAAGGTTAATTACCATGAATGCTCGGACAAGTTCGATAACCGCCATTATTCGACCATAATTTGTGGAGTTATGCCCCTTTATTTACTTGCCGAAACAGTGTCCGCTCGATATCTCGAGTAATTATTAACGGATTAACTTCAAACTTTACAACAAGGTTAATTACCATGAAAGCTCGGACAAGTTCGATAACCGCCATTATTCGACCATAATTTGTGGAGTTAATCTAAAAGCCAGTCGAATCCGGAGAGTAGAACTATCTTGAAAACGACGTATTGAACCCCGGAAAGTTAACACTAATTATGACATTGACTCTTTCACCGATATGTGCTAAACATGTTGCAGAAATATAGACATTTTATGATGTAGTTTCGAGGTGTGTTCAACAATACCATAGAAGAAATTTAATCCTGAATCAAATGATATTTTACTTAAAAATCAAAGATCCCCTAGACAAACGTTTGCTACTGTTTGGCAAAGTGATCTCCTAATTAATTAAGACATATAGGAATAAGCTATGTACTGGAAATAAACTGTGAGATGTGCTAAAAATTGGATCATTTTGCATTTGCAACTTGAAATCCGGAATATTATAAAGTTGAATAAAACTGCGCACTATAGACTAATCTAACACAAACTGGCGTAATCTGAATAATCCAACTATGCATCATTACTCTACGAAATGAATATATGCATGTGGTCTAAATAAATAGTCCTCATTAGATAATACTTAAACGATACTACAAAACCTAGTAGGAAATATACGATACGCGATTTGATTTCTCCTGGATCATGTTATCCTTGCCGGTACACACTCAAACCAACCCATTTTTTCACCAAGAAACCGCACACAAACCGTACTACATTTAGAGCAAAACAGAATTAGATTTCCTCCTGTACCCACTTATCATAAAATGCTTAGCAGAGATAAGTATAGCGCTACAATAACAAAAAATAATAATACTTCAAAATATAGAAACGTAAACAACGAAAATCTGTCATAATTATGTTTAGTTTTTATTTTAAAGAGATACATAACGCCGGAAACGGTTTTTTTGCATTTTCACAGATTGACAGAGAAATTGATATACCTTAAAATCAATACATAATTAAAATATCCAACCAAAGTTGTCGATTCGTCTTGCCACCAAACACTAGAAATCTGTCCTCATAATAAATGTAAATTTGAATCGTCCCGCTGGTTCTACGCGCCATTGCTGATGAATATTCAACAGAAGTTTCCGAAAACGAGTCACGTGATAATTCGGAACACAACAAAAATGGATAGTGAGGTAAGAAACACGTGGTTTTGTTTACGATATCAAAATCGGTATGTGGGTAATGTAACACCACCACTGTGTTTAATTCTCAAACTAAGCAAGTCTTTATGCTTAAAATATTACCTCCCATCATGTAGAATTCCAAATCAAAGTAATTTGGCAAAGTTGGGAATTTTCAGTCGCAAGTTTTACATTTTAGCGACGAACAAAAATAGCTACCTGTCGAGAAGAAAAGAAGCAACATCCTGGTTCCACCGCAACCCTAGTTCAGCCTGTTCCATCTGTTGATGTGCTCCCAATATTAACTCGACTTTAACCTGTTAGTCTGGCAAGCTCGAGTTTCCGTCGTTTCCGAGCCGAGGTTGTGTTAAATATTCAGCTGGACAACCACGTTTCGGTGCGTGTGTCGCCATATTGTTTTGGTTTTCGGAGGTCGGGTCATGAGCTCGGGTCATAAAGGTTACGTCATGTCACGTAGCTTGTAATTATGCAAAGTAGCCTTTTATGGGAATTTTTGCCGACCGGCATTTATTCATTTTTTTTATCTTTATATTTACAGCTCCATGTTTGTAGAAACTTTTCAAACTTGGTATTCCGTCTTTGCGTATTGCAGAGTTATCTTCTCTTGGGAGCAGGTATCGATTGTTACGTCATTGGTTTGTGTGAGAAAATTACGTCGTTTTCTCAAAAATTGATGACGTTACTCTCAAAAACAAGTGACGTAACAATCAATACCTGCTCCCAAGAGAAGATAACTCTGCAATACGCAAAGACGGAATTAGCGTAAAGTTTATAACCTTCTCTATCGAGGAAAAATAAGGATTTGTGTTGGGTTCTTTTATAAGAGAGAAAGAGCTTTTCCGGCGTCATGTATCTCTTTAAATGTATTCCAGGTATGTCACACGGTATCAGTGTTTTATCCCAAATATATCAAAACCATTTCAGCACTTGGATTTAAACCTATATTTATCCCTAGAAATGTGTATATTCCCGTAAGACTTTCATTTGCCCTTTGACATTTAGCAATTTCAGGAGTCAAATAACATTTCTCATCAGGGTGGTCGAATGGCGTAGTGGATATCACCTGGCCGACGACGTGGGTTTTCTCTGGGTATTCCAGTTTCCTTCCATATTAAGACCCACATCGCGCTAATGTCCGCGCTAACAACAGTGATTCATTTAAGTTTCAACAACTTATATCATAATTGTTGTTAAAAAAATAAAGTATATATTTATATTTAATATTTTCCCTTATTGTTGGAGGGTCAAATCACCTGTCAAAAAGACGTAGGTCATTTCAAAGCCAAGAGTCAAAGCTCGTTTCCGGACAAAAAAAAATAAGGGCAGTGTGTAGCAAAGAAGCAAGGGGGAAAAACGCACGCATGTGAAGCTTCGGACGGGCGGGCGCCGACGGCCTTATGAAATGAAAGGCATCTTTTGCAGCCCAACTTAATTCTACAAAATGACATAATATCAAAAGTTCATTGTACTCCCAGGTCGTGCGGAGTAGTAGAAATGAAACTCATTGCAGGCTGTCGCTAGTGGGAAAATAAACACGACGGGGCTACTCGATTCGGGTTGCATACCGGTAACATACGATATCGATCATGCTTTGCAGAACCCCTTTTACTTTTCCGGGATTTCAATCATTTATTCATAAATGACGAATTATTTCTTCAAATATTAATTGAACTTGATTTATCTGTTCACGGTAAAAAAACATATTGATAATCTTTTGTAAATTTGACGTTTTCACCACCCAGCAGTGTGCGCAATCCGTATGACGTGTCCGTTATCTAGAATGAGGACGTGTGAGACTTATTGTATCGATATGCTATTTATAACGATGACAGATAGATCAGGTTATTAAATACCTTTTTATCGGGTTTGGATGACTGCCCAATTATGTGTACCCGTTATAGAGACATCAATATAGAGCTGACGTGATCCACCCATTGTAACTGGTGTAGTACATGCTCCGGCCTCATGCTTGCTGTTTTTCGAAATCACAGCACTGGCACAGATTAAACATACCAAGAAATCATAGGCACATGCACGGAAACAGAGGTTGTTCTTACTTCGTATGGGAACGGTAGTAAATGAAGATTTAGCATTAAATGATTCAATTTATAATTTTTAATGAAGTATTCAAAACGTTTATGAACGGGAAGAGCCTTAATCTGTCACTCAAACACGCGATATCACGTTACGGTTGATTGACCATGATCATAAATATCACCACATTTACTACTTATACTGAACACTCTGACCTTGGTTCACCAATTTATAACTGATAACCTTTACACACACACACACACACACACACACACCTCCCCTCTACAAGACGACCCACCAATTACATGTGCGTGTAATGTAAATGTGTGGTGAACCTGCAGTCAGTAAATATTATAAGGACTTGTGTAAGTCTCTGTGCTTTCAAAAATCACCCGAAGTCTATTTTTAGACATGGAACTACACAGACCGACCCACAGTGGTAATTCCCCACAGTAGTGACAGTTTCATACATACGTCATATATGCATGTCATTGTTGTGAGTTTGTTAAACCAGTCGTCTGCATGTAGCCTGGAGTATCGTCATCTTTTACATAATTCCCGTTAATAAGTAGCTGAGAGCACATAGTCACGGCACGCGTTATCGTTTCATCTATCTAAAAATAGAATAGTTCGCGGAATACTTCACTCATTACAGGGGTTTCCCCAAAACACGGAAGTCCCATATAAACAAAGCACAGTTAGAGCCAAACAAACAGTCAACACATCGACGTCAAACCAGGAGATTGAGAAATGAAGAAATCGACCAGTATGTTATGTCTGCCGATATTTCCCATATATTTTACCTCCTGCCAGAGCCCTCAACCGGTATCCGACGTCTTTTGGTATGTATCGTTTTCTATCATTAAGTAATTCAAAGATAATGCTTATGTAATATGGTGTAATCATTTGCATAAGATGGCGGATATATATGTGTTCGTATTACTCAAGGCATATCGCTATATTAATTTTAGCGTAGCTTGAAACCTCATTCGGTTTTAACTTGTAACAAAACTGGTATTTGATATTGAATTTCATACATATGTGATTTTCAAATTGATTTAAGTCGAGATATATACAGTTAAATGGAAAAGTAAAGGCCTTGTCACGTGACAAAAATAATCGCCTTGCAGCAAGCCTCAGTCACGTGATATCAACAATCGTCTGGTCATGAAATGCCTTTTGAATGAGCTGTACATGTATGCTCGTCTGCTGCATATAACCGCACTACTCGATAGTGAAACTGACGTAATGCAATAGTACACAAACAAACAAACAAACTAGCTGAATATCTGGTATTTGTTCGGAACTGACGGACATTAATGTATATGATAGCAATGATTTAATTGTTCCACATACCAAAGCAATTCCACGGCATATTTATAGTCAGCCCCATTACTTTTGTAAAAAAATAATTCCTAATTGTTTAATTTGTGACATGGAATTTCGTTTTGTACAAGTACAACTGGTTTGTGAGTGTCAACAGCCGTCTTATCAGGGAGAAATATGACCCTTGTTATCAACAGATAAAAGGTTACACTGCTATAATAACACGATAACACATTACGTCATGGCTTCCTCGTCTATTGTTACAACAGAATTAACTAGTTAAAATTCAGACATCCACCTATTGCTTTCGGGTATTTTAAGGTTTCAGTAAGGGGAGCTTTTACGGAAAACAAACCAATAAGCGTTCTTCAAACACGCATTTGTCTATATTGCTGTTTGTGAATAAATGTCACCAAAACATCTAAAGTCTTTAAGGAGAGGTTTTACACTGGAAAACGTACCCATGTGTAATGTCGCCAGTCATGGTCCATTACAACAGTAATAAGATCTGTGTGAGACAGTTGGCATGTATTTTAATTAACTGCTCTCGTGTCAAGGCTTATCAGCCCAGGCCCTGCTCATGGATATTACACAGGTGTATACTAACCCTGTAACTGTATCATAGGGCACCATAGCCATGTAGCAATACATATGTAGGTGTAAATACTGTATTCGGAGTCTGTCATTATTTTGATTACGGCCACAACGCGTACGTAACACCATATATCTCCTGAATTTCACCAATGTCCATAGATTAATTTTCAACCAAGGGTAGTTTGTGAGGCTTATGAAACACATATACACATGGGAGGCCATACTTAAGAAATAGGGATGCAAGTGCAATACATAACTAGAATTGTAGACCGAGTAATCTGTCTGAACAATAATTCTGGTCGGGATGGTTCATTTTAGACCATCGATATCATGAACATATTTCTGTGGTAGATTATTCCTTATAAAATCAAAACAACGGAAGGCCATGAGCAAGCACAGAATATCAACATAGTATATACCTATACATTTCCAGCACGAAATGTCATACTCGACTTACTGTATTTATAACATACCAGAAAATATGTAACAAAGGGTCTTTGTGTAACCGACGATCCTACCAAGATCAGGACATAGTTTACTCCATATTGTCACTGTTTCAATTGTATTTAGATAATATGACCTAATAAAAGCAATAATTGTACTGTAGGGTACCCGTACCACTATCAAAACTGTGACTATATACGCATTGTAAGCTTTATTTACCAGCTTGTATCATAGTCTGCCTGTTTTCCTTTAAAGTTGCATGTGAAATAAATCTCAATACCCAGTTAAAGGTGGAGCTTAGCTGTCCAATAGCTTACCATACTCCGGCGGAAGTTGTTGTACACCAATAGTGTACACTAACTTCCCAAATTGGATGTTAATAATACTGCGATTTACTGTTCCTGTGCAGTATATATCGTATATATAGAGAGAGGTCTAACTCTATGCAGTAATTATGAAGAAAAACATCTCTGAACACTTCAGTTTTTCTCCGTAGTTTTAATTGTAATAAAAAACGTCAACGCGTACATTTTTGTGCATGAAATAGAAACATGACACAAGTCACCTGAAAGCGAAAGAATAGCTCATTTTTCTAACAAAAAGTCGAGCCCATTTTTATTTAAATGTAAATATTAAACTAAAGTGTGCGTCATTATCAATCCAATCACTGAAAATTCACCGAAAGCAGTTTCCTTAATACAATGTATATAACACAAAGTCATCAAAATCGTCTTCTTATAAATAAAGGAAATCCGTGTCTTTCAAATTGATAGTGGAAATAGCTGACGGTGTTGTTTCAAAGCTCAAATGGAAATGATGAGAAACTACATGTAAAGGCAGGAAGTGGGGTAAGGCTTGAACTTCTAATTGATTGTTGATTGTTTTTGGCGGGAAATGTACTCCTAATTGATTGCTGATTGTTTTTGGCGGGAAATGTACGCAGGAACACAAGACAATTCTGATTGGTTCTTAGAAATTTAGTGACAGTTGATTGACGGACCATAATACAAGCCATTTATTGTATGTTTCGGTGATTTACATTGCGATCCAGGTACTCGTACCATCCATAGGCGATTTATCACAATGTTTAAGTCGACATTATTGGGGTCTAGTGTCGACCACTACAACTTAAAATACTCCTTTATTCGAGGCGGCCGTTCATCGGGGCCGCGGGTACTTCTTTCTCTGCTTGGCGACTAGGTGCCAGCGATTGTGATATATAGACGCATGGAAATGGCTAAAGACAAAAACATTGTCTATCTTCGTCAGTGGTGTGTCTATTTCTCTATCAAAATCGAAAGGATACATGAATACGCAGGTTCTTAGACTAATCCGCCCCTTCTGTGGACCTTAGCAATACTGCTGTTTAAATGAGCAATTTGAAATCCGATATATATATTTATAAATATTTGCATCATTTTAAGAAAGGGAACACTATAGTAACAATGCTGTGATGATATACAAACCGAAACCGAAAGTAGTAAGATTGAACATAACAAAACAGAAATAACGAAACCGAAAGTGATACGGTGCAATATTTATCCTGAAACCAAAAGTCTCCCAACCAGAATCCGCCACAATACTAATTTTCTGAAAGTATATTGATACAGTGTCGATCAATACGAATTTCCTGAGTATTGTGTAATACCTATATTCTATAAATCAAGCTACGAGATACAGTGTGTACATGATTGTCAGTTTGAAGAATACCGCTGTAATGTTATAAGGTTATTTTTTTTCAAAATAACAGTTTCATAAATTTATAAACAATAACGGACCAAGAACCGAACCCAGTCACTCCTGCATTTATTGTGTTAACAGAAGATTTACTATCTATCAATAAGTATTTGCTGATATCGATGACATGTATTAACATAACTCATCTACCAGTTTGATGATTTGTCCGATATCCCATAACTGGGCGGTTTCACTTCAAGGCCCCTGTGCTCACCCTGTCAAATGCCTTAGCAACTCCACCAAATATTCGGAACAGTCAAGCTATGTAAGCGTTATGGTTTACTTAGACGGCAATAGCGAATGTGTCAGTTACTATTTATTTTAAAGTTGTATATCAATGACATCTTCGTTATATTCTCTTTTCTTCAGAATTCTCTTGAACCTGCATGTACCATGTAGTGTTTGACATCACAGCGTGAAGACTGAACTATTAAAGCGTATTCTGTTACCATGGGGACTATCGGTGACACCGTACTTAAACAGTTTGGACCTTCGGAAGAGGAACAACCGGAACAATCAACACCAATACAAGAAGAATACATTTCAGCTAGAGAAGATCGAGTACCAGCTGACGAAAATACCCAAGGCACTGATATCGATTTGCCCATTCAGCACGATCCGAAAGGGGAACCTTCTGACAAGTCGAAGGCTGTGCCAACCGGATGTGAAATCATCTACCAACGTGACAACTTTGAAGACTATGATTATGCAGCAGACGTTGATACTGTCAGTGATGATAGTGATGTCCAGGTACATCACAGCTCTCAAATCATTCAAACTAAAACCGGAAACGACAGCAGTGTCAGTAAAAATGCACACATAGATCTCAGCTCCTCTGACAACGAGGCAAGCATGTGTGGACGTTCCACTCCCGAAGACGACGTGGAAATCGAGGAAGTAGATCTAATAAAAAGATCACACGAGTTGGATGAGCTTATTGCTGAAGCATACCTCATGATCACGGCAAAAGAACCTGAGAAAGCACGCAAAATTGTCACCGATATTTGCGGCCGACTTGACCAATCTTATAACAGTGACAAGGACTATCAGTATCTTGATTACAGTAACTACTTTCACGAATGTGCCGAATTGTACCGACAGGTAAGTAATAATTCTCAAGCGACAGATCGTTAAAAATAAGACACCACACACATGCTATCCATAACATTCATAATAACCTTCAAATTAATTATCTCCCTTTGGTCAGATTTTACAATTCTTATTTGAATGTTTTCTCGTTTTATTAAAATTGAGAGCTACACATGAAGCTTTTTTCTCATTCAAGGTTGCTGACCCAAGCAATGCCGTGAAGATGTTTTATAGAGGTAAGTAGTAATTAGTGGAGTGTAGGAAGGAATAAGAAGCATGTAGTAGTTAGAGATATGAAGTAATTAGAGGCATAAAGTAATTAGAGGTATGAAGTAATTAGAGATTTGAAGTTATTAGATGTATGTAGTAATTAGAGATTTGAAGTTATTAGATGTATGGAGTAGTTAGTGGTATGAAGTACATGTACTAAGCGTTATGTAGTGTTTAGAGGTATGAGGTAATTGGAGGTATGAAGTAATTAGAGGTATGAGGTAGTTGGAGGTATGTAGTAATTAGATGTATGAAGTATTTAGATGTATGTTGTAATTATATATTTGAAGTTATTAGATGTATGGAGTAATTGGAGGTAAGAGGTAGTTAGAGGTATGTAGTAATTAGAGGTGTGAGGAAATTGGAGGTATGTAGTAATTAGAGGTATGATGTAATTAGAGGTATGAAGTAATTAGAGGTATGAGGTAGTTAGAGGTATGTAGTAATTAGAGGTATGAGGTAAGTGGAGGTATGAAGTAATTAGAGGTATGTAGTAATTAAAGGTATGATATAATTAGAGGTATGAGGTAATTGGAGGTATGAAGTAATTAGAGGTATGAGGTAATTAGAGGTATGAGGTAGTTAGAGGTATGAAGTAATTAGAGGTATGTATTAATTAGAGATATGAGATAATTGGAGGTATGAAGTAATTAGAGGTATGAAGTAATTAGAGGTATGAAGTAATTAGAGGTATGAGGAGGTTAGAGATATGTAGTAATTAGAGGTATGAGGTATGTAGTAATTAGATGTACATGTATGCAGTAATTAGAGGTACATGTATGCAGTAATTTAAGGTATGAAGCAAGTAGAAATAATCTGAATTTAGAAGGATGTAGTAATTAAGTTATTCTTGCGTTTGGAAAATCAGCAAAAAATGATGTTATTAAAATACTGATATTGAAATCATTAACATATCAAGATTATAGTGTAAGGAAAATCCCTATAATTTAAATATGTAAATACATTTACATATATGTAATTGAAAGACATTAATATTAAATATTTTGATTAAAGCATACTTTTCATTACTTTTAATGAACAAATTACTTTGTAAATTACTAATATAAGTTTTTAAATACGCGGACTACTGTAATCAGTATAGCCTACTTATTATACTATTTTCTGCAATAACTTTTATAAGTTTAAACATTTCGCTCCGAATTCATCAGTATGGTGTTGTTGTTTTTTTATTAATTCCATGGTATCGCACGTGATATTGCGTCAGCTGTCTTGTCTTCGCCTACTGTCGTGTTGGGGATAATCTAACTATCCATATTATTATAGTATAAATATATATATATTGATATATATTTGCGTAGTACTCTTAATGCTTTAGCAAATTAGTCGAAGGCTTTTTATAGTACTTGTATGATAATCGTTCAAAAGACGATTAGTCATTGTGATTGTTGCGAGGAGGCAGTTGCTTATTATTAGATGATTAATATAGTATCATATATATTATACAATTATGGACTTTTGTGCTGGTGAATTTACCAGCACAAAAGCCCATAACTATTTTATTATATGCTTCAACAATAAAATAAAACTAAACTAAAGGTTCTGTAAAATTTAGCCAGGTTTGAATACAACAGTTCATTATTGTAGCTTTCAAAGGTATCGTCTAGATTATTTTTCTTAAGATAAGCATGGAGGACATGCACTGCGTGTCCAATGACCTTTTAACGTTAACAGCATCTTTATCCTCGAATAGTTTTGGTAATTTTCTGATGTAACGGAGGAGAAACGTTCGCCAGCAGCCATCTTCTAATGTCGTCTGACATATCGCGTTCCAGTCTAACTGCGCATGCGCTACGAAAGGTTCCGGGGAATTTCCATACAGGCTATATTTAGAAATCGATATTCACCGGATAACCAGTCTACATGACTTTTTGAGGACTGGTCACGTGTATAGTATCCGACCAATGTGATTGCGAGAAATGTTCATGCATATAATAATAATAATTGTATAACGATATAACTATTAATTTATTTCAGGTGTCTTACACCAGGAAACTGTGATCGTTACACACCACTTAATGATCGCTGCATTGCTTTGGGAAGAGCTTATAAATTCAACAGTATTATTACAAGTATGTTGGATTGTTTCATTTATCATCAATGCAAGTGGTTACTTTCACATACATTTGACTATATCTAACGAACAAGTGAAACATTTTAATGTAACATAATTGTTTTCGTTACAGAAAAAAGCAAGATAAACAAAACCATATCTCGAATTCAAAATCGATGAATCAGAGGCATGACATGAACAACAAAATTACACGGGGCCTCTGTATTCCCCGTAAACAACACAGAATAAGACTACGTGTTTCGGAGAAATACGCGTCAGCTGCTATATCGACAAAATACGTCACGATAAATCCAAATCAAACTAAAAAAAAAATATCAGATAAGAACTGAGATGCTGACAAAGAAACCGTGAAGCACACTAATGAACATTAAAAGTCGAAGTTCATATGAAACAAGGAAATATTTCAGAACGATATCATGATGGCGACCATAGCTTTCTATCAATAAGTATCAAACTGCATTTCCAAAGACTCTGTACTTTTATGTTTTTCCATCAGCAATTCATCTTCCATTCGACTTTCATCATGGCAGTCGTAATTCAATGATGCAATGTAATTTTCGAGATAATTGTTATCGTTAATTGGGATGATTACAATGTTAATTAATTAAATCTGAACGGCAAGGTATCAAACAATTAAACATAGAGTTAATGAATAGAACACAACATGTAAATCTTAATTATAAAACGCCCACAACATACATTGTACATGGGTTTTGAATAAGACAGATGTATTTCTTTGTTATATAACAATACATACTAACTGTACAATCTTGAATACTGAAATATGTTAACGAGTTATTAATTAAAAGCATTCTGTTTATGTTATAAGGAGGTCTTAAGCATCGCACATGGGATACAGATCCTCGCAGACATCAAGCTAGAACAGTCGGGTGGAACAGCGGTCCAAGTGCCTTTGTGTATTTATAATGACCTTATGATGACCTTCAAAACAATTCAGATACAGAACCCACGGTGCACTGGTGCAAAGGAAGGGAAACTTAAAGCGATGCTTCCGTGGCTAAGATGTCTCCTTACTAGTGTAAGTGTGGTCTTTTTACACTTTAACCGTTAATATTCACCTCTGGGATTAATACCTTCGAAATGTGGCGTATCATCACGACCACAATAATTTTATATATAGCGAATTATGCAAATTAACCATTTGTTTAAACAATAATAAAACATGATGTTTTATTTCCATAGGGTGTATCACCTCACATCGTAACAGGTATATGTAAAGGAGGTAAGTACTCGTTGTTTGTTATGTTTAGACAATAAACGAAAACTTAGAAGGTTGATCAGATTTAAATGTAGACATTTGGCAGAATATATAAAAACAGGTTGAAACAATTATATTATGATTACAAAATACTGTATCTAGATGTACAATGCCATTTATTTTTTATTGGTGTAATTAATTGGAAGGAGCCTGTCGGTCCATATAGCTGTTATATACAGTAACATTTTCAATTCTGTAGCAAACATGTAGATAAACCAATTTATTCCTGTTATGTCCTCTGTTACTGGGGTAAATACATTAATTTAACATAAAATCTCCGTTTTTAGCATAAAGCATGACTTTTTAAAAAGCTAGACATGTTAAGCATTAAAGTACTTTTCATTTACACCACAAAATGTTATGAAATTGCACATCATCTTAAGTCCATGTATAAATCTCAATTAGTCTTTATTTTCCTATTGACAATCTGTAAAAAATACATCACTGATGAGGGTTAACTATGAATTTCTAACGGCCTCGTCCATTTTGATTTGAGGTTTGTATGTCTCTCAAGAGCTATTAAAAGAGAAATTAAGCTCTGTGTGACCCATGTATATAAATGAACTTTAGCAAATATGTCATTTCGTAGCTTTCAGTACGATCACTTAAGGGAATGACATGTTATAAGTGCGGTGAACTAATTCTATTGAGATATCTGAGAAATTTGAATTCCAACGTTTAATTTTGGTCTTCAAATATAACTTATCAGGTGATTGAAATTAAGATGAATAACGTTTTTCTACAAACATCTTGATCATGAAGCATTCCGCAGTAAGCTACAAAACATGCTAAGATAACGTTAGTTATTGTCTTTAGTCCTGAAGGAGTATCCTGACAACGCTTCAATCCTTGAAATATGGGCACGTGCTTTACTTGGTATGGGAAAACTTGATCTGGCGCTGAGGAAGACAGAATCTGCACTTCTTTATGTGAAGGTACTTTGGTCGTTGCGATTATTAAATATTATTCATTACGTCTTTGTGGCCCTGCAGGTAGGGCGTCAGAATTGTACCTGCTGCCCCCAATTGCATGATCGTAAGAGGCGACTAAATTTGGGACCTTATTTATCTCTTCTCTCCTTTCTGATTAACTTTCTTTTTCCTAAAGTCTCCCTTGACAATGCCTCACTTTTGGCCATTTGTTGAGCGTTCGCCCCTGTGAGGAAGGCTTTGGGTTCTGTCCCCTGGCCGAGACATATCAAAGTCTTTAAAAATGGTAGTTTATACTCCTGCTTAACGCTCAGCAAATTAGGAGTGGGACGACTGGTTCGCCTGTTGTCAGTATAATGTGGCCGGGTGGGGCGTCCTGCTGGGTGTCTTCGGCAGTATGTTTCAGTGAGGTAGCACTATAAATCCGGCATCAGTTCCGCGCTATCACAAGGAGACAAACACGAACATATCGCAGCCTCCCAAAAAACACACATATACACTACACGCATGCATCTTGCCCACAGGGGAGGCCGTCCTTAAATGACCTTAGCTGTTAATAGGACGTTAAACAAAATAATCAAAAAAATCAAAAAAAATCATTACGTCTTTGTGTACTTAACCTTATTTTCATGTTTCAAGTATGCAACAAACGTGCTCATTTTGATATAGATGTTTACAAACATTTAAAGTTAACATATGGGACTGGTACGTTTGAATTATCTCCGATAATTTATTATTTCAATTCATTACTACTCATAAATTACTCGACGTGGTCAAAAACATTTGTTTTAAATTTTAACAGAATCCAAAGCAGAAATCTGAATTGGAAGAATTACAAAGGGATCTTACTGCAGGAGTTAGGACATCCATCAGAGCAGTAGATGACAGCTCGCCTATTATGTCGTGGATAGAAGGTAGCAATTACATGGAACCTCATAGGGTAAGTTATTTTAGATCCAGTCATTAAATATCGTTACTGATCCTGGTCCTTATTTTATATGTTCATATGTCATTTAAATTTAATCTATCATATTCATAATCTTTGTTTTTGATAAACCGTACATTTTATCTTACAGAACAGCCCCCAAGTTGAGAAATTAAAGGAAAATCATGTCAAGAAACCCCATCGTAGGCGTGAGTACAGCTTTATGAAACATTACATGATATTAGACCACGAATCAGAAATCAAGTGTGTTCTTGAAATCTTTTATATTATACTGTTGATGCATTGTTACAGCTTCGTTTTACATAGACAAACAAGGGTATTTTTTTTTAATTTCAGCCAAAGCTAGGAAATCGACATTGGCTACTTGTCTAGATTTTGCAAGTGAGGTTGACAAAAAGAAGGAAACAGCACGTTCAAGTTCAGCATCGCCATATTGGGATAGTCATATTAAGAAGAAACGCCGACGACGTAATACAGCTGGATCCGATGTATCATCGACTGGAAATGGAAAGAGCCTACAACAAGATTTGCTAGAAGAAAAAGTCTACATCGCAGGCTTGGGAGAAGGCGACGACCACTCAATAGAAAGCGATGAAGAATTTGACGTTTCAGAAATATTAAGATCGAGTATATTTGATTTGGACTTAGGAGACCCTGATGAAAGCTCCGATGGGGAATCCATAAGAAACGCTGATGTTGAATCAATGTTTGAACAAAGTATTGATGTCGACACAGAAAACGCTGAGGAAGGCATACAAGAATGCGAACAGCTCTTGATCATACATGGAGCGGAGCTTTCTCCTAGATTCATTGCCAAATGTGCCTTTCAGGACAAAAAGAACTATTACACCAATAGCCTGTCGATTGACGAGCTCAAGGATTTGACCAGAAAGGATCCAGGACGATTCAAGAAATGTACGCTAAAGATAGAATCAGCTCACAAGGCTATATGTGGACTGTTACAACCAGAAGGTGATCTGAAGGAAATAGAGATCAGCGGCAGATCGAAATGCGGAAAAAACTTCATGGAAGATGAAGTTGTCGTCGAAATACTTAACAATGATCAAAAACAGTCCGATGTTATACCTCGTTTAAACAAAAAACTGAAGACTACTGGAGCAGAGACAAAATATGGAAAGGTTGTTGGTAGACTGAGTAGGAAACGATTTCGCGACATAGAACACCCAGTGTTGGTTTGTGGACTGGATGAGCTTGAATACCATTTAATGCGACCGCTCGACAAAACCGTGCCTAAGTTACACATATTCAACAAGCATGTTGAGAACAATTTCCAAGTCGAGGTTTACGATTATGACTCTTGTTCTTGTGATTTGAAATTCAGCAATGTTGTTAACATTAATCCTGCTCAAAAACACAGTTACGTATTTCTTGTTGTATTCATACGCTGGGATGCAGTTTATCCTCTAGGAGCAGTGATCAAAGTCATGAGATCTGACGGAGGAATAAACAGTGGCTTGAAAATCCTAGAGTTGCAGCATCAAGTGCCAACAACCTACAACCATGATACGATTCAAAGTGTTCAAAGTATCATGAGCACAATGCCGGAAGAACCTGCTCCGATTCTAACAGAAGATAGAATAGACTTTTCGGAATCACTGTCCGTATTCACGATTGATCCGAAGGACTCGAAAGATCTTGATGATGGACTTAGCATCCAACGACTTTCAGACAATGTTTACGAGGTCGGAGTCCACATTGCAGACGTTACAAGCTATGTACACAAAGGAGACGCAATTGACGAAGAGGCGAAATCTAGGGCAACAACATTCTATCCAGGACACGCAAAACCACCCTACCACATGTTGCCCGAACCACTAAGTCAAAATCTATGCAGTTTACTCCCAAACAAGAAGAAACTCGCTCTCTCTGTCTTTTTGTACTTTAGTGCTGACGGAGAGTTAATCCGTCAACGCACAAGCATAAAACAAACCGTAGTCAAATCGAGAAGACAGTTCAGCTACCAGGACGTTCAAGATATAATCCTTGATTCAACGGTTGACGATGAAACAACCTCCTCTGATATCATTGATTTGTTTCGAATTGCAAAGGGATTGCGCTGGAGAAGACTAGGTGAATCGATGCATTCATTTCCAATAGAAGTGGATTTGCTGAACGGGAGGGAAAGTGAACGAATGTTCGACACTCTAGAAGCTCATTTCCTTGTTGAAGAATTTATGATATTAGCAAACATGACCGCTGCCTCGCTGGTGAGCTCAAGCTTTAGGGACTGCGCTCTTTTGAGATGCCAGAATGCTCCACCTCCTGAGAAAGTGAATCAATGGCTGAATGATTATCCAAGGATTGCTGATGTCATTTTGAAACTACAGAACATAAAGCCAACTCCACAACGACAACTTAAAATAGCTAACGCTCCAAAGGCAAGGTACAGAGTCGTTATTGAACTGCAAAAGTGGATTTGGTCTTGTTTAGAGCAGCATGTCAAAGATGGAAACTACAGGGATGCATGCAAACTGATCGGCAGTGATGAATTCCACCCCGAACAAGCAATCGCATGGAACGAATGGATATGTTTTCAGGAGCACGCCGAGTATAGATGTCTTGGCTCTATGAAAAACCGTAAGGAAAGGTTTCATTTCACACTCAATATTTCTCCGTACACACATTTCACGTCACCGATTCGACGATATGCAGATATAGTGACCCATCGTCTTGTCCACGCTGCCCTTAACAAAAAAGAAGTACCCTATACGCGATGCGAAATTGAGGATATCTGTTACCACATCAATGAGGTTTCAAGAAGGGCGAAACAGTACAGTAAGCAATGTAGAGCTCTGCATTATGGCCACGTTCTGCGACGTAACCCTGCCATGTTCAATGGCTTCATAGAAACAGTTTCCGATAAATGTATCCAGCTCTGCATTCCAGGGATGCAAGGTCTACCACAAAACTGTAGGGAATTGCAACTCAACCTACTTGGTGTGTCACGGAAACCAGACATAATAAAAGACCGAGATGACGATAGACCATTTGACATTCTGACTTTAGCCTGGCAAAAGCGCCTTTACTCCCATAGAGGCTATGCTCCATCCACGAGAGGTCTTGAGAACATTCGGGTTGATCCACACCAGAGAGCCATCTTTCAACAATATTTACGTTGGCAGGATCTTTTGAAGGTTTTGGTTCACGGAGACACTAAATTGCTGAAGAAGAACTTCGCTGTAAACGCTGACTATCAGGAAGGAGATCAACTGAAATCATATGTTCCGGCATGCACATCGACGGTCGTTGACGTAAGTTCAGAAGTCAGGCAGGGGGCCATAACAAAGCATTTCTGTGAGTTCAGCATGTCCTTCAACCATGCTCAGATTCTGTTAGTGCAGATTGGTGCAGAGCCACAGAAGGGAGTACTTGTACCAACTCCTCAGATCTTAGAACTTACAAATAATTTCATACTGTGTTTACAGCACACAAGTGACCCTGTTAAATACTTGGCTAAGTATGCGACAAGAAAAGCCCACACTGAAAACTACAAATCCATAGCCGAATATCTCGAAGTGTGGCTGTCGCTGATACGCATGGAAGCTGCAACAATGGCGGGGCACGATGACGCAATCACCGTCAATGATCTCCCTGTTAAACTGAATGAAAAAGATGGTACTTTTTCAATGACCATGGATTTTTGTGAAGACAGAAACATTGAATTCAGTAGCATGTCAATGGAATTCATTTTACATGGAAACGAAGATGACGAAAATAGCGATGAAACAAAGTACGTTCCTAGTTCAGACTTCCTTTGTCTGAAGTGTCGTTACGAGGTAGATGACGTCATCTACAAAGGTCTCAAAGGAAGCCCAGGAGAACAAAGGATATGGCTAGCGCACGGACAGGTGGATAAAATAAAGAAAATGAAGAAAATGGGAAGAATTGAAGTACACTTTTTGCTTCATCCTTCCAGCCAGAGCCTACCACCACAACTGTTGAACAGTGAGAGGAAACCTAAATGTAGCGTTGAGATCATGGCGAAACCAGAATCCAATAGGTCTGTTCATGTTTATTTTATACAGAATTACTTGAATATTCAATTGATTTTATTATAACCTTCATGCTTAACTTTGCAAGAGTTCCGAATTTCATTGAAATAATTGTTACAAAAAAAATATCACGGTGTTTTATATTCAGAATCAAATTAACTGAAAATCGATGTAACGCGATTCGAAAAAAACCCACATTATGACATTGTTTTCCATTAAATATTCCTAGGAGAACGGAGGCTGCCTTACTTTGTTTGGATAAGGCAAACGGTTTGGCGCAGAAGATAGCTATGCGATTCAAGATTCCAGCCCTAGGTTTGTAGTGCACAGTTTTTATTTCATTATATCTCGCGACCATGATCGTAATTGCAGTATCAGATTTTGACAGTTTCATTCTTGTAGTATGATACGTTCCTAACGTAATTCTCAGGATTAGATTTATGATATAATGCGTGCTATACTAATTCACAGTTAACTATTTGTTTCATGATTTTTCTAATTCTCAGTCTCATGTTGTAATATGACTTTCTTAATAAATAACTAATTTTATGTTTCATATGCTCTTATAGCAATACTTAGTTCTATGTTTGCGACATGTATACCAATTCCAGCTAAGTGGCTGTACAACCATTCACTCTTTAACTATCTCTTAGCCTTATGTTTATGATATTAAGAGCTCATGTGCTAAGTATTTTTTGAAGTTTATAGTAATAATTATCATTTATAAACACATATTAGTGACAAAAGAAATACTTACTACAGTAAATAAGACAGGAATCTCAATTTTTGATTTCATTTTGCATTTTATTATCGTGAAGCTGTCTTTTAGTAGTAGGCATTTATATTCTTTTAAAAAACCCGCTGTGATTATATTTCAATCTCAAACTGTTTTTATTTTCAAGTAAGAGCATATCTTTGATACATCATTTAAACAAAATACATTGAAAAAAATCTTTCTTGAGAATTTATAACTAAAAGAAGAAGAAAAAAGGTGTTCCTCGTGTAAAAAAGCAATGGAGCTAGACAAGGATTCAAACCGTTAACGACACCCAATTGATATACTGTCGCCCTAACCAACTCGGATTCCTGTTCAGCGGTAGTAAACTGCCCCGATGGCGGAAGGTTACTTAAGAAGGTTCGGTTTCAAAGAAAGAATACAGTGTATTCTCTAAAGTTTCGCCTGCAATGCCACAGACAAACATTTCTGACCTAACTTTGCAGCAGATTATCTCATGTTCTTAATGCAAAACATTTACTTGCAGACAAAAACCACTTGGCGTTAGCGAGAAGAATGGAGGCAGAAGTTGACGTAGTGGGCCTAGCCCGGAACAACACCAAGCAATATCAGGCTATACAACAGGCCCTTACCAATAGATTTACTCTAATTCAAGGTCCTCCAGGTAAGGAGATTTCTGCAGACATTAGCATATACATGATGATGTAGAACATAGAATTTGCGTTTACTCTTCCCAAGCTCCTTCGCGGTTCACTTCTTCTTTTGTGTCTTTATGATTGGATTTCTGTTGCTCCAGGTCCCGCTGTTAACTTTTCATATGAGTTTAGATTTACCTATACTTTTATGCTAGGTATATTGCTGTCTAATTCGTGTAACTGTTTTATAATATTGATTCGATTACATGTTTGTATCAATGAATTTTAGGATAAACGCCAAATGTTATCTACGGAGAAAATATCATTATTATCATTATCATCATTTAGATGAACATTTTCAGACTGTAAGTGCACCATCTTACTGTAACTAACATTTGATTATTCTTGTCATTACGAATTCATTAATATGTTTTGTTAATTTTAGGAACCGGAAAAACTTTCACTGGAATGAAACTGTTGTATCTGTTTACCAAACTGAACAGAGTGTGGCATCAAGAAGGCAACCCATTAAAGCAAGTTGTCTATTGTGGGCCTTCGAACAAGTCGGTTGACCTTGTTGCAAGTAGGTTTTTTATGAGAATATGTTAATTATTGTACTTGGACCATAGGATTTCAGATTGCGGATGTCTGTTTAAATACTGTTTCAAGATCATAAAAAAAGTTATTAAGATAGAGTTCATCATTAAATTTAGTTTGCCAAAAAAAAGTAAAGCTTCAGAAACATCAATAAACGGAATGATTTAATCAACCTTGCTGAGTAAATGACTGAAGGATCAGTTACATGTTATTGTTCGGTATATATTTTATTCGTTTAAAAACCAATGTATATTATATGTTGCAGGGTGGACAAAGAAAAAACTTGGCGAGCATGCACCAAGAATGGTCAGAATGTATGGCTCTTCCCATGAATGTATGGACTTCCCCATTCCTGGAAAGTTATACTCTCATAAATCTCGCAGAGCTAAAAACCGGCCTGATGAAGATCTTCAGGACATCGCTTTACATCGTCTGATTCGGCAAGAGGGAAAACCTCATGCTGATGAGATCTTGGAATTTGACAAATATTTTCAACAGTTCCACAACTGCCCGTCAATATCAGACCACGATTTGGCGGAAACGTTTAAGAACAAACTGAAAGACTACAACTCTCTTTTGAGTAAGGCAGGACAAGAAGAACTTCAACACTATGATGTCATATTTTGTACAACCGCTATGACTACTAACCCCAAATTCATCCGTGGCACGAAAGACAAGATTTTTCAATGTATTATAGACGAGAATGGAATGTGCACCGAACCAGAAAGTCTTGCTACAATCATCGCCACAAAAGCGGAACAAGTCGTTTTGATTGGAGACCACAAACAACTCCGACCTGTGGTCATGTGTCAGCACGCAGCAAGACTCGGGCTGGAGAAGTCTCTCTTTGAACGATATTCAGAGAAAGCTGTATTTCTGTCGACACAATATCGAATGGTACGAAATAAATAGTTTTAATCATCCTGTTATCCATTGACGTTACGACATATACTAGGCACTATTTTGAAAATGTGTGGTTAACTCAGTGACTTTGAAATAACTCGGCTAACGTAAATTTATTTCTGTTTGTACATTAGAAACGTGGGTTATCACCTAAAGAACTATTGTATCTTCTCAATATATCAAATATATTCCTGGCTATATTTACGACACTTACTAAGATTATTCATCCTTCCCTTAAAATTCCATTATTAATTGAATATTTAAATATCTACCCTTGAATGAAATCGTATTTACTGTTCACATTATGTTTCAGAATCCACGGATTTGCGATTTTGTGTCAGCAGAGTTTTACAACGACAAGCTTGACACTGCTCCGTCTCGTGCATGGAAGGAGGAAACACCCCTTAGCATCTGGAAGTACCCTGATGTGCCTCACATCTTCTGCCACGTGGAAGGGGAAGAGGAATATTTAACAGTTTCTACAGAGGAGGGAAACGAGCACTCGTGCAGTAACAAAGCGGAGGTTGAGAAAGTGGTGAGTTTACCTGTTTTTGCTAGGTCTATTACACAGTTGCTGATTCTTTTTAATGATATCGATGTCCATTTCATGTAGCAGTGACCCAAACATAGAACAACTTAATATCTGCTTATAAGTTGCTGATAGTGCTTCAGTTAATTACAAAACTTTGTTCAATAATTACTTTTAAAACATTTCAAACATAGAAAATGCAATTTAATGTAATACATTTATGTATCAACATGTTTGATATCGTAGATGCAAGTTTTCCGGCGCATGTTGAAAACAGAAGGAGTGAACCCTCGGTACATCAACATTATATCACAGTATAACGCCCAGTGTCATGCCATTAAGACGGCGTTGGTTGACTCTGGGTATATCAACTGTAACGTCAACACTGTCGTCGCCAGTCAGGGTAAATACTGTTCTTCTTTTATACGTCATATATGTAAAAACATGCAAACACGAAAACTGATGGTAACTCATTTCAATAAATGCCCGCATATCATCGATTTGAATTTGCTTACATTTATTTAATTTATAACTACTGTAGATTAATGTTACCAAATTAGATTCTCTATATGTCCATAAACTATGTCCATCAATATACCCAATTCCTTAATTTGTTACAAGTGTGACGTGATGTTAATTTTTTTCAATAATGTTCGTATAGCCCTCATACTCCATTAAACATGTAAACATCATTTTCATTTCAGTGTGTGTGCGTGTGTGTTTTCTTTTTTTGATAAAAAAGATATCTGTATTTATATCCTGCTGGTACTTTTAGGTGGAGAATGGGACTATGTCATTTTCAGTACCACAAGATCCCTTCCAGACTACAAGATTGAACCGAAACCGACCCTTGGCTGGTGTAAACAGAACCTTGGCTTCATCACAGATGAGCACCAGATCGACGTTGCCCTATCCAGGGCTCGTAAAGGCCTTGTCATTATAGGTAGGTAATAAATGTTTGTGAATCAATGTATGTAAAGGATACACAAAATGTTTATTGTATCCGATTGAATTACTATGGAAATACAGTAAAAGACAATTGAAGAAGGAAAATCTTTATTGAAAAATAGTTCATTTTTGTAGCACAGTGACATATTTTTTATTGTTTCAAAAAGTAAAAAATAATAATTCGTATTATGATAAAAGAAATTATTGTGTTTTATCAAAAGAATGTATATCAATATATATATATATGTAACAAGGTTTTGTTCTTCATGAATATGAAGCATCTTAAATACATGCATGTACACTTGTAAATATAAAAAATCAAACTGAAAATAGTCTGACTGAGAAAACGTGTACAATTTTCACGACAGCTTTGTCACTTGTCATTCAATTTTTTCCGTCAAATATGTATTTGCATATGGGTGATATAACTTCTTTTTTAGGAAACGAAAACCTGCTGCAATGTGACAGAGTCTGGGAACGCCTTCTGGATCACTATAGGAAAAGGGGATGTATTGTGGACGCCAGAGAATTCCCGCCTCGCACCAAGACTCAGAACAGGAGGAGGAGGGGTGGTGGGACCGCTTCACGACAAACATCGGAGGAGTTTTATAAAGATACCGACCTAGGTTAAACACATTCATGTCTCTATTCCTGGTAAAACAGTATCCTTTACCGTTACGGGAACATGCCAGCCTTGTACAGATGCCACAATTTCATTTTGGTTACATTGACTCTGTATATAGAATTGTTTCCGTTTATGAACGATAAAATTGCTCACACCTCGTCGATTTTTAGTGTTGTTTGAAGACACAAACACGTGTGAATCATGACAGTGCAGATAAGCGATTAGATGATTGAGCAAAAATGTCTTGTTTGTTTAAATTTTCAGTTATTTTATAAACAAAGTTAACATTCGTATAGTAGCAAATGAGATGTTCTTCGAGATGGTATTTGCAATCTAGATCAAACTGCTACTTAAATGTGATACTTAATCAAGTTCCATAAACTAACCTGTAATAAGTATATCCTTCAAATATAATTAACTCATTTATTGCATGATGTATTTTCGACTAGTAGCTGAAATATGTGTACAATATCATAACTTGAGTGTCGAAATATATATATTGTATATATATTTTAACAGTTTAAGGAGAGGGACATGCACTCTGAGCCTGATGTTAGATATGCCACGTTTCGTAGATGCAAGACATTGCTATACACAGATTAGTTAGACGCAATGTCAGATTTCTGTTTTCAAATTGTTACGTCTGTGATAGGAATCGCGTACTTTCCTAGCTAACCTTTCCACCAAATTCAGAAGAAAAATTGAAACGAAAAGAGTTACGGATAATCACTAGCATTACGAATATTACTTGTAATACCCATATAACAGCCATTTATAGTATTTTAGTAATAATCACCATATACCAGTTATTGATATGTTTTAGTATTACGTGTAATTCCAGTATCCAGTAACTTATCTAGTTAGCTTCAATAAGAATAAATGATACTTCAAGGAATAACTGTCAGATAACATTGTTAATAAGATTTATAGAATATCTATCTAAATTACAAGACCCAACAGCTATCAAAATGATTTTATAATACGTACTTGCTGTTCAAGTAAAAAGCGAATATGATGGCACAATTTTTGAAAAACTAACACTTGTATACTTTTCGAAATCAAGGAGACAGACAAGTATGAGTGTTAAGTTCCTTAGTCTGATTCGTTTCAATATATTATGTAAAAAATGGGTCTTTTAAAAAAGAGGAACTCCAATTACAAACGAAACGTGCCCTTTTAGTTAATTAAAACACGTTTAGTTGCATGATACTGAACTTTTCATAGGTTAGATACATTTTACAATTGTAAAAGGAAGCGTTACCATGAAATAATTTTGCTTGTGCTTTTTTCTCTTCTATATTCACATCAACTAGAAATTCAAAGTCAGAAAACATGCGTCCAAGTATTTGTTAAGTTGACACGGATAGCCAAACAAAGTAAACGTTTACTACACTATTATGGCCATGAAGATACCATTAGCGAAGGCAGAACAGGTGCATATCAAACCTTTATTAAGTTACAAACTTGTAAGTTTTGCTTACAACATACATTTTGAAACCAGTAAATCATGCCAAAATAAAATTCTAGTAGCATGGGTACGAGTAATCTCGGAAAAAGATAATCTTTCAGCAGAGTCAACAAACCAGTGAGGCAATACGAGTATTAGAGATGCTAGAAACCTATGTTTACACAATTCAACGTCTTAAAGTATTTCATGTTTGTCTATTATAACGTATTTCATGTTTGCCTATTTTAACTGAAATCGTGGTTTCGAAATTGTTCTTTTTGTAGTGTTACTTAATTAACAATGTTAGTTGTCGTGTTAATGGCACAAAGAAACTCACACAGCAGTAACATTGACATAAATATATCATTTTAAGGTGTTTTGTTTCCAGTATGCTAAACTAAACCAGTTCTAAATGTATAAGCCATTTGGATCAAATTCATGTATATATGATACATAGTTTAAGTAGGTTTGTCTCAGCATAATAACATTGTCGCGTGTGATAAGGACGCCATGTTCATCTACTCTGCGCTGCTGTAAATACGTTTTATTGTTATAATTGGTATATTGATTTTATTTCCCAGACGAACGTTTTAATTTTTGCAAGATGCAAATTATAATTATTATGCTTCAGTTAATGTATCAAGTCATTTTCTTGTCCAATATTTAAGAATACGATACCCGCGTGGTCAGTACTTTTTGGGTGCATGATTGTGCGCCTATTAATGGACAAAAAAGATACTTGACCGAACTGACTGACTCTTGTTGATCTTTTATAATTTTCAAATCATATATTGAATAAAATTATCACAACCGTTACATACTTACTTGTTAAATATTTATTTAAATTTATGACCAATAAATGGATATCTGATTCAGATGACTTGTCTTCAGGAAAATGTAACGAGTTCTGGGCCTAGTATCTATGACCAGCGGAGAATGTTGTGGACAAGACATTTTTAGGTTTTTAGTTTTGGTCAATGTATGCCAATAACTATGTGACTTAATAGCTTATATAAAATGTTATAAAAAATGAGATAATAGCTGTAAAAGTGTTTTGTGTGTGATGTGAGAAGTGTGAATGTATTTGTATTTCAATTAAGTTAATTAAGAAGGAGTCACATCCCGTTAACTTTTGTGTTTATAATTTTCATTTCAAAATTGATGTATGAAATTAAATCAAATAAAACAAATGCATAATCCATTACTTTAGCTAGCTTTGAAGAAAATTTATATAGGCTTTGCCGATTATTCCATCCAATTGACTTGTAACAACTTTGTCAATAAAATTTGTTGAAATGAAATTAAGATATTGTCAGCAAGTGTGAAAACTTATTGATATATCTTAACTTTGGAACCAATATGACTTTTACGTAAAGAACGCATCATCCTTTACAAGTACTTAGTGCACTAAAACATCATTTTGCTAAAGAGCAGCTTTTGATCTTTGAAATTCGAGTGCAGCTAAAGATGATGTTTTATATAGAATTTTTGTATGTGGCAATCATATTTTTCAGAAAGTATTTTAATGATTCATTGATTTCTGTCTTTCTATTTGTTTGTTTTTATCAAGTATTTTTTATAAAAAAGAAAGCAATTTTCCTGAATCATATTGCAATCTAATAAGAAATATTACACATTTTGATAACCATCGTACATCATTTTGTTAAGACACGTTAGACTGATATTACAGTATTTCTCAATTCTTGCATGTTAAATGTGTTATGTTAATTCTTTTTATCTAATTTTAAGAAACGAACTTTCATATTTATTAGGTTTATGTCTAGCTGAGGTAGTCCTTATAAATTTTACAACGATTGTGAAACAAGTAATTGCACCTAATGTTAATCAATTGTTGGCCTGGATGCTAGCGCGAAGGGGATCTAAACGACGGATGAATCATCACCTTATCACGTCTGATTGGGGAGTCGAACCCCGGACCGTCTTGGTGAAGGGCGAGTGCGCTATTCATCGTACCATCCGACCTCCCATTTGGATGATTATCTATAAATATGAAAGGAATATCGAACTTGGTTCAACTTATTTGTTCATGAATATTATTCAAGCTTGTCATTGGATACACACTGTAGATTGCAAACAAAGCTTTATATACTGTATACCGGGAAATTTACCCAAAGGCCAACCTTCTACTATTCATCCATGGGATCAATTTTAACCCAGTGTTACTATCGCCCTTCACCCCCTCAAATTTAATTACATTGTGTATAATGTTGTTTACGTTTATTTGTTGTAATGATAAATGTGCCCACTTGACGGAGGGGGAAAAAACGCGAAAATTAAAGTTTCCCTGTAAACAATATTACGCTTTCAATCTTAAAAATTGTGAGATAAATGATACAGGATTATCAATTATCAATTACTGCACCTACTTGTAATTTCAATACTTAATTATCATTTTTTGATGTTTTACTTTATAGGAATCTGTATAACATTTTTATTTTTTAATATACATTTAAAATTTGATATTGATTTCGAGTAAATAAATATGTATAACGTATAATCTCTGTTGAACGGTTTCTCTCATATTTGATGATCTCATAAGAATGTAAGAAACTCATGACAATAACAATGTACATGATTAATGTAATTGTATGCGACATATCTAGCATAACTGTATACCACAACTTTATCATGAATGAAAATAAAATAATTTTCAAAAACAAATAATCATAATGTTATGTATTTCACTGAATGCAAATGTTAACCAGTGAGTAAAGTACTCGACACATCAATATACCAATACAGTACCTGCACCATTAAGGACCCCTGTCCAACTGTACTGTAGGTTTTGGTATATACAGTAAGTTCCCCTTAATTCCATTTTGGATGTCACTGTAGGACAAATGGACCAAGACAATTCCGTTGACGAATTGGCTCAGTTGGTAAGAGCGATAGTATATCAATCTGTATTCTTGGGTTGGAATCCTTGTCTTGGCCAACTGATTTATTTTGCAAACAGAAGAGTGTTTTTTTTTTACTTTTGTTAGGTTTATTTCATCTTTGGTATTTTTCATTTAAGTCCCTCAAGGTACTTTTTACAGAAACAGCTTTTTAAAATTATAGACATGTCAGCAAAATCGGTTTCCAGTGCTTAGTTACTGTTTTTGACAGTGGTACGAGGTTCCTTAAGGAAGAGTTCAATTGTCATCCGATGATTGGCTAATCAAATCGCATGTAGTCCATGGTCATTCTATCAACAATTCTTATTATCGCTATTTCTCAGAAAGTACTGGATGGATCATTCCAAAATTTATTATATAGGCTCCTCTTTGTCCTAAGTTGTGCACGTTTACTCTTTAAACTGATCGAATGAACAATATGGCCGACAGGCAACCATCTTGGATATTGACAGTCAAGTGTGTTATTGCTTTTTCCCGAAAATGTTAAAGGAATCTTTCTCAAATTTAATATGCATATTAACTTTTGGGACAGATAAGAAAAAGCTGTCATTTGGAATTTTAAAGTTAATGTTTGTTATCGCTATTTCTCAAAAAGTGACGGATCTTTTTTCAAATTTCATATGAAGATTCCCTTGGTCCCTAGTTATGCATGTTTTATATGGAGAATGATCATAAAACAAGATGGCCGCCAGGCAGCTATCTTGAATTTGGAGAGTTAAAGTTTGTTATTGCTACGTGTATTTCTCAAAAGATACTTGACAAATCCTTTCATATTGAGACTGATCGGAAAAATAACATGGCCAACAGGCAACCTTCTTTGACTTGGTGCATTTAAGTTTGTTATCGCTATTTCTAAAACAAAAACTTTTACATATATTTCTCCAATTTTTTATGAAGTTTCCCTTTGGTCTATAATTGTGCATGTACTATTTTGAGACTGATCGCGAGATGGCCGCAGGAGGTCATCTTGGACTTTGTTAAGTACTAAACAGACATTTCTCATATTGCAATGATCTGTTCTTTTTCTTTCACATTAAGTTCTGTACTAGTAAATATGTGAAACGACAAAACCACTTTGAAGGCTGTCTTTTATCCACAGCAGTATAATGTTTAGATCAACATTTACCCGAAGTTGCATTTACTGTTTAGCAGAAGAAAAAAGATCGAACTGACATAGAACTTATGAAACTAGTACGATGGTGGGCGCCAAGATCCTCTGGGTTATTATGTTTTCTCATGAAATTATACAATATTCAACAATTGTTCGCATATTTTGAAGAGGCTAACATTTTATAAAAAGTCATATCGAAATTCGGAAAAAATAATACATTAAACTGATGATATTATAGCTTTGATAGAAAAATATAAAAAAATGCAATATTCAAATACCTGAAGTAATTTGAAATCGATCTGTGTGGAGAGTGTTCTCCTGAATATCGAAGACAATACATTTGTTTTCTTCCAAAGATAACGATTCATCGCCATATAATAATAAGTTGATAATTATATGATACGAAAGAGTTTCAATGTGCAATTGTTTGATGGCCGTGTGTAAAGATTCATCCTAGTAGGTCAACATAAGTGTTTCAAATTTTACCGCATACACAAAGGTGAGATCGAATGATTGTTTTAGATACTAAATGGAGTGTGTTAAGGTTTGCAATTGTTTTCAAAATATTCAACAGATTTGCAATAGTTTGTAAAAGAAAGGTACATGTGTAAACATGTGCAAAATGTGTTCAGTTGTTTCTCCCACCACTGTGTATGGGAGATAAGCATGTCCCATGCGGAACACTCGCGTGGCATTAATATAATCTTTTCTTAGGGGTGAGAAAAGGTGTTCTAAACCCGAGGGGGAAGATTTTTAAGTTTCTCTGTTACTAAATCGATTAAGAGTGTATCACAGGGGTGAACCATCTAGTCATTTGTCACTAATTCGGCTAGATGTATGTCACAGGGGTGAACCAGCTAATCCCCTGTTACGGACTCGACTAGGGGTGTTTAACAGGCGTTTACCCGTTTTTTCCTTGTTACTGACTCGGCTAGAAGTATTTAAGGGATGAACCAGCTATATCCTTGTTACTTACTCGACTAAGGGTGTACCACAGAGGTGAACAAGCTATTCCCCATTGTTGAAAAACCACAGGCGTGAACTCGCTACCCCCCTGTTACTGACTCAACTAGGGGTGTTTAAGAGGCGTTGACCAGCTATTCCCCTGTTACTAACTCGAAAAAAGATGTGTCCCACTGGTGAATTAGCTATCACCCCTTGTTAACTTGTGTATAACTATATCACAGGGGTGAACTCGCTACCACCTGGTACTGACTCGACTAGAGGTGTATCATAGGAGTGAACCAGCTATACCGTTGTTAGTAACTCGGCTTAAGGTGTCTCATAGTTAATGAATCAGCTAATGCCCTGTTCCTGTTCGGCTTGAAGTATATCTAGGGGGTGACTGTTACTGACTGGATAAGAAGTATCTCTATTGGTTACGCCAGCTATTCTCCTGTTACTGACTTGCTAGAAGTGTATTTAAGGGGTGATCCAACTATGCCCCTGTTGCTAACAGGACATAAGGTGTACCACAGAGGGGAACCAGCTATGCCCCTGTAACTGACTCACAGTGGTTAACCGTTTTAGTGGCTTGATACTTACACATCTAGAGAATGTCACAGCGATACTGTCACTTTTAATAACTCGACTAGCGGTATCACAGCGGTTAATTAATAAGTCACTTGTTACTGACTCGACCATAGGTATGTCATAATTGTGATCATATGGTCATTTGTTACTGACTTGGTTAGAGGGAAACTCAACACGCCGTAAACTATTTGGTTGTTTCAGGTAAAGGAAATCTGGTGAAACGATGGGCCGATACTTTCCTTTTAAAATTGAAGAGGAGCATTACCCGACATCAGAACAAGTCAACAAAGCCGTTACAGTGCCGTACGAATCTTTTGTTGTGCATCAAAGGATCAAACAAGTCTAGCTGCATCATTCACAAGGTGATGCGTACAGAGCCTGCGATTTCTTCATGACGTATTCTAGAATAACAGAAAATATTACCCCTGGAATTTTGAGCATGTGAACCATCTAGTTGCTTGGTCCAGACACGGCCATACGCCGTTTTTCGTACAAAGCTTAATCAGTAGAGTACTGAGCCATATTAACCGCAAGTGTCGAATCACAATTCGCTCTGAAAAGCGACTTCAAAAGGTGCCCACGAACCAAAACTAAAATGTCACTAAACGTATGTTGTACGGTGTCTGTAGTCTTAGAAATTATACGCTAGTTTCTTTTAAGTGTCAGTTCTTAACTCTGCTTCAGCAGTTTTAACCACATGCATACGGTATATAATTAGTCCCTATGACTGTTTAGTGCTATATATATCCGAAATTATCTACGGATATCTTAATTAAATGATAGTCTAACCACACACGTGCTAGATAGACTGTCTTTATGACTGGTGCATGTACAATGTAGTTTGTTTATCAGATATGATTGCCAGTGTATATATACAGTGGAAAGAGTCTTGATCATATGGTTTAAGCTACACTCGTTTCATTTATACAATTGTTTTGGAGTGTAGTACTTTAACATTTTCGGAGAAAAAGCAATAACACACTTGACTGTCAATATCCAAGATGGTTGCCTGTCGGCCATATCGTTTATTCCACCAGTTTAAAGAGTAAACGTGCACAACTTAGGACAAAGGGGAGCCTATATAATAAATTTTGGAATGATCCATCCAGTATTTATCACTTTATTACCTTTATTCGTTCGACTCATCAGTACAATACCACACCAGCACTATACAAATAGTACGAAGAGTGTAACCAGTTAAGTTAATTAGTTTCTTCTTTGATATATTTGGCTAAATGGACTAGTTCTATGTAAACAGTTAATGAATATGCTAGCCATTAGCACATGCCAACCGACGTCTACCCTATGACCTATCGACAGGTGTTTTGATGAGTCAATCAGATCTAATCTTTGAGTGGCACAGGTAGGTATATATGAACTTATTTATAGTACCTATGTTATCGTGGGACGATTTTCTTTATCATGTTTAGATTGTCTATCTAGTCTGGTTAGTAGGAATGCACTTACCCTTTTATAATGCGTATTTAGCTGTAAACATCAGTCTTTAAATATGTATTATGTAATATTAGCAGCACGTAAATCTGAATATTAAACACAGCTTTTATATATCGCTGGATACAATGTGTAAGTACTGTACATTATATCTTTTAATTATTAATAAAAAAAAAGTGCAAACACAAAAGAAAAACAAAAAATATAACATAGCCTGCACAAACTTTGAGGAAGAGAGTTCAGGTCATGTGAAACGGGAAGCTTTTCCTACATCCGTCTGGAAGTTTCCAATGAAACTAGGGTAATATGTAGGTCATCAACAGGGTAAACACTTTACAATTACTTCCATCATAAATCAGGCTATAGTTACGAGTATACTATTTTCTCGGTGTAGATTCAATCTTCTCCGGTAGAGAGTGACGACTACCTAAATATTTTGTCAATGATGTACTGACACTTGGAACTAGCCTTAAGTAGCAAATCAAAGGTGACATGTTAACACAATAGGAATAGGACGGTAGAAAGATAGTGATCATGAAAATAAAGTTGTCACGTTTGTCGTTGAATTTGATAATTAAGAGTATTATCTCTTCTTGGTCGCGTCATTTTGTTTAGTTTTTTTATGTTTTATCCAGTCAACTAAGAGTTATTTAAGGGGCTGCAAGCGTGGAGATGTCCGGGCTCAGTGTTCGGGGCTGCCAGCGTTGGGAAGCCCAATTTTTAGCTTTACGTGTCTTATCATACACTCTCCATAGTTTGTGATTATAGTGATATAGTAGTTGTTCAATATAATTTCTTTAAATGATTCCTTCATGCATTCATTGTTTTAAATCCCGACATCCCGGATGCATGTCACTAAGCATGACCTTGTAAGTTATATACTTTTACCGATTGTCCAAAACTTGGACGTTAAAGTATCAAGACTTTAGAGGTTACGCATGGATAAGCAAGCCAAGCTATGACAAGTGTACTTAAATTTGAAATATTGGAAGACATCAATTATGAATATACTTGTCATGTGTTTTAATAAATGTTTTTATCTCTTTATATACATATGTATATTAATTAGTCACAAATTTGATATGTTTTTCTTGTGACAATTAGATAATCACATAAAAGAAAACAAAAATTCGACACTCTCCTGTGCTATATCCATATGTAAGTAGGCACTACCTACTAATACGTATAGATAAATCAGTAAATATCATTCCAATTTCACATTCAGCATTATTAGAACACGGAATAAAACGTCAGCAGGACCTGCTGTAGGAGTTGTAAAGCTCGCTAACTAATTTTTAAAAAATCGAGGTATTTTCTTAATAATAATATCATAGAAATCGATTGCAAATATCAGTATATGACGTACATTTATTTATTCTCTAGAAAATACCCGACTCTCGTGAAACGAAACCGGAATGGCATTTTTCCAAAATCTAGTATCGATTTATTTCAATTCGCTGACATAATACATGCTTGATAACAAATGTGTATATTGTGTAGGTATAAACGCATACCTAGTAGGAATAGATCACAAAGGACATATACCTGTACATCCGTACATATACGTTGTAATGAAACTATAATGTGTTCGATTTCTTAACCCTTCGAATGGAGAGTGGTAAGTACAATGTACTTATATATAACTAGCATTACATTGTCACGAAAGTACATGTATTTCATATGTAATGCATTGAACTGCTTCATTTTTATAATGAGAATGACTGTGGGTATGTGCTGCCTAGCCGATATATGACGTAAAGTCACTTACTGTCATACAAATTAAGGAATGACCAAAGGCACCAGAACTTTTAACGGCATCGTCAGACAGAGAAAAAAAAATGCTCATTTCTTTAATTAAGTAAAACTTTTGACCAAATAAAGTTATAAGAATTTACAAAACAATGTATGTATTCTTGGTACAGAAGGCATTACAAAACATAAACATGGTCATTACTTCTTATTTAATTTGAAGAAGAAATATGTAACCTGTATAAAACTAATTTCTAAATCATGCTTAATATACTAAATCATATTGCTGATAGTAAACTCGAGAATATGATAAATTGTTCTAGTTAGCTTAACATAACACGATATCTTTTTTGGTAAATATGGTGTCACCAGTTAGTCACTAAGTCTATAAAAAGACACGGAATTCCTACAAATATTTACTGTGTACATGTAGCTGTCACTAAACATTGCCATTTTAATTATACACACACATGTATGCCTCTCTACATGTGTGTTGTTTTTCTTAAACAATACACTCGATGTGTATTTAAAGGCCAGTACAATTTCCTCTGTAGACGTTTTCCGAGAACTGAATATATCTATATATCACTGCTTATGTAATAACGTATTTTAACTAGATGTTTTACGTGAACTTCCTGTTTTAGATTAGTCAATACACAGGATTTGTATTTAAAGGCCAGTGGAAATTACCTCTGTGGTCGTTTTTTGAAAACACATCGTATCTATATATTACTACTTATGTAATGCTGTATATATAAATTAATGACTGGAAGTTTTGTCTGTACTTACTATTTTAGATCAGTAAACAGTAGCGCAATATGGAGCTATAGCATCGCCCTAGAAGGTGAAGTGAAAAGCATTATATTATTCTTTTGGTGTTGTCTTTATACATATATTCTAAGGTTTCTAATATTTAGATGTTTTATATTTATAATTATAATTGTTGTATGTTGTTGATGTATCTGTTCATCACATATTTAATTGCATCATTTGTACATGTATCTTACTCATATTTACTAATATGCCTATCAAGGTTTATCAGGAGTATGATATATTAAATGAATCTTCCAAACAAGGAGGAAGATCAGACAGAGTTACATTCGTATCTTCCTGACAAAATACCCTCGCTCAAGTCAGATAATTTTACAAGCCAATCAATTTACCCATGTATTTAGTCAATGCGTACTAACAAACGCAATAATTGTACTGTAGGGTACCCGTACCACTGACAAAAACTGTAACTATATACGCATTGTAAGCTTTATTTACCAGCATACTAATAGATTTGATAAATCATTTCTGAAAAAAGTACCAATACAAATAATCATCAACAAAAATCTGACTTAAAGCGCAGTTGTATAAGACTTTATTTGACTGCTTTATGTTTAAATGTATCAGTCTAAGTTAAGGTGTTGGTTATGAAAAGCTTAACGGCTTATACATGCAGAACATATTGTTATTAATTTAATGCAATAGAAATGATGAAATTAAAATAAGTAAGTTATGCAGCAAGAAATACCTTTACATAAATAAGTTTGCGATTTATGATTCAAAATGACCACATGCAGACAAGAAATTGAAATGGTTTTAATGATTAGACTCGAGTACTGATTTTCTATAGTATAATCAAGCTTAGAGCAACTAGCTAGACAGTGCAATCGGTCCTACCGAGCTTTATTGACTACAGACTGACACGTCAGCGCCATCTAGATGTACACATCACCGGATAGCTCTATCCACTACAACTTCAAAATCTCCTTTAATCGAGGCGGTCGCTACATGTACGTTCATCAGAGCCTCGGGTACTTCTCTGTTAGGCGACTAGGTGCCAGTGGTTGTGATTTTAACGCCTGGAAATGAATCAAGGCAAAACAGTGTCTACCTTCGTCACCGGTGTGTCTATTTCTCTATCAAAATTGAAAGGATATATGAATACACAGGTTCTTATATTAGTCAGTCCCTCCCGTGGGCCTAATCAAAACTACTATTTATGCTAGCAATATTAAATCCTATATATATTTTGATATTTGCATCATTTTAAGAAAGGGGATACTCTATTGAATTCATAGAAATCCATAGTAACAACGCTGTGATGATATACAAACCGAAACCGAAAGTAGTGATATTGAACATAATAACACAGAACTAACGAAACCGAAAGTGATACGGTGCAATATTTCTCCTGAAACCAAATGTCAAACAACCCAAATCGTGAAAAAGTGAAATCGCCCTATACTTATTTTCTGAAACTATATTGATACAGTGTCGATCAATACGAATTTCTTTAGCATTGTGTAATACCTATATACTATAAATCAAGTTACGAGATACAGTATAAACATACATGAATGTTAGTTTGAAAACTACCGCTGTAATAATGGTATAGGGTTATTAAATTGAGTCTTTTTAAAATAACCATTTCATAAATTTATAACAACAACGAACCAAGAACCGAACCCAGATACTCCTGCATTTATTGTGTTAATAGAAGATTTACTATCTATCAATAAGTATTTGCTGATATCTATTACATGTACTGACAGAATTAATCTACCAGTTTAATAATTTGTCCGATATTTCATAACTGGACGGTTTCACTTCCAGCCCCCTGTGCTACACCCTGTCTTATGCCTTAGAAACTTCCCCAAATATCCGGAACAGTCAAACTATGTAAGCGTAATGGTTTACTTAGACGGTAATAGCGAATGTGTCGGTTATTATATTAAAGTTGTATATCAATGACATCTTCTATATCTTCTCTTTCCTTCAGAACTCGCTTCAACCTACGTGTACCATGTAGTGTTTGACATCACAGCGTGAAGACTAAACTGTTAAAACTCATTTTGTTGCCATGGAGACCATTGGTGACACCGAACTTAAACAGTTTGGTCCTTTGGAAGAAGAACCACCCGAACAATCAACGCCTATGCATGAAGAAGATCGAGTACCAGCTGACGAAAATACCCTAGGCACTAATATCGATTTGCCCATTCAGCACGATCCGAAAGGGGAACCTTCTGACAAGTCGACGGCTGTGCAAACCGGATGTGAAATCATCTACCAACGTGACAACTTTCAGAACAAGGAATATGCAACAGACTTTACTACTGCTAAACATGACAGTGGTGTCCAGGTACATCATAGTTCTCAAACCATTCAAACTAGGACCCGAAACAACAGCCCCGTCAGTAAAAATTCACACATGTATATCAGCTCCTCTGACAACGAGGTTAGCATGTGTGGACGTTCCACTCCAGAAGACGTCGTAGAAATCGAGGATCTAGATCTATTAGAAAGATCACACGAGTTGGATGAACTTATTGCTGAAGCATACATCATGATCACGACAAAAGAACCTGAGAAAGCACGCAAAATTGTCACCGATATTTGCGGCCGACTTGACAAATTTTATAAAAGTGACAAGGACTATCAGTATCTTGATTACAGCCATTACTATCACGGATGTGCCGAATTGTACCGACAGGTAAGTCATAATTCTCCAGCGACAGATCGGTAAAAATAAGACACCACATACATGATATCAATAACATTCATAATAACCTTCAAATTAACTATCTCCCTTTGGTCAGGTTTTACAGTACTTGTTTGAGTGTTTTTTCGTTTTATCAAAACTAAGAGCTACACATGTAACTTTTTTCTCATTCAAGGTTGCTGACCCAAGCAATGCCGTGAAGATGTTTTATAGAGGTAAGTAGTAATTAGTGAAGTGTAGGAAGGAATTAGAAGTTGTAGTAATTAGAGATATGGAGTAATTAGTAGTATGAAGTAATTAGAGATATGTAGTAATTAGAGGAGGTATGGAGTAAATAGTGGCATGAAGTAATTAAATATATGTAGAAATTAGAGGTATAAGGTAATTAGAGGTATGTAGTATTTAGAGATTTGAAATTATTAGATGTATGGCGTATTTAGTGGCATAAAGTAATTACAGATATGTAGCAATTAGAGGAGGTATTGAGTAGATAGTGACATGAAGTAATTAGATGTATGCAGTAATTAGACGTATGAGGTAATTAGAGGTATGTAGTAATTAGAGATTTGAAGTAAACAGAGATGGGTGGAAATATAAAAGCATGCAATATTTAAAAGTATGTAGTAATTTGATATATGAAATGATTAAAAGTAATAAGAAGGATGTGGTTATTGGAGTTGTGCTGTAACCAGAGGAATGAACTAATGAGAAGTGTAACAATTTGAGGTATGTTGTGATAAGAAGTGCGTAATAATTTGAAGTATATATAAATCAGAGTTATGAAGTTAATGGAAGTATGTAGAAATTAAAAGTGCGTAGTTATTACAGGTATATAGTAATACTAGTTACGACGTGATTAGATGTGTTGTAACAGTATAAAAAGTCTGTAGTAATTAAAGGTATGTAGTTATTAGATGTGTGTAGTAAAATAAAGTGCGTAGTTTTTACATATATATAAGTAATAATAGGTATTTAGTGACTAAAGAAATGTTTTAATCAGAAGGAAGGTCGTAGTTAGAGGTGTGTTATAATCAGAGGGAAGGTAGAAGTTAATGGTGTGTTGAAATCAGAGGGAATGTAGAAGTAAGAGGTGTGTTATAATCAGGGGGAAGGTAGTAATTAGAGGTGTTTTATGATCAGAGGGAAAGTAGTAATTATAGGCGTGATGTAATCAGAGGAAGGTCGAATGTAGAGGTGTGTTATAATCAGAGAGAATGTAGAAGTTAATGGTGTGTTGTAATCAGAGGGAAGGTAATAATTAGAGGTGTGTTATAATCAGAGGAAAGGTATAAGTTAATGGTGTGTTGTAATCAGAGGGGACGTAGTAATTAGAGGTGTAATGTTATCAGAGAGAAGGTAGTAGTAAGAGGTTTGTTATAGACAGAGGGAAGGTAGTAGTTAAAGAGGTGTTTTATAATCAGAAGGAAGATACTAGTTGGATGTGTGATGTTATCAGAGAGATGTATAAATTAGAGGTGTTTTATAATCAGAGGGGACGTAGTAATTACAGGTATGTTGTAATCAGAGGAAAGGTAGTTATTAAAGGTGTGCTATAATCAGAGGGATGTAGTGATTAGAGGTGTTTTATAATCAGAGGGGACGTAGTAATTAGAGGTGTGTTGTAATCAGAGGAAAGGTAGTTATTAGAGATGTGTTATAATGAGAGGGAGGAAGTAAATAGATGTGTGTTATAATCAGAGGGGACGTAGTAATTAGAGGCGTGATGTTATCACAGGGAAGGTAGTAATTCGAGAAGTGTTATAATTAGAGGGATGGTACTAATAAGAGGTGTGATGTAATCAGAGAGAAGGTACAAATTAGAGGTGTGTTATAATCAGAGGGAATGTAGTAATTAGAGGCGTGATGTTAGCGAGGGAATTAAGTAGTAAGAGATTTGTTATAATCAGAGGAAAAGTAGTAATTAGAGGTATGAAGGATTCAGAGAGAAGGTGGAAATAAGAGGTTTGTTATGTAATCAGAGAGAAGGTAGTAGTAAGAGATTTGTGATAATCAGAGGGAAGGTACTAATTAGAGGTGTGATGTTATTAGAGAATTGTATTACTTAGAGGTGTGTTATAATCAGAGGGAAGGTAGTAATTAGAGAAGTGCTATACTCAGAGGGAAGGTAGTAATTAGAGGTTTGCTATAATCAGAGGTATGTAGTAATTAGAGATATTTTATAATCAGAGGGCTGGTAGTAATTAGAGAAGTGAAGTTATCAGAGGGATGGAAGAAAAAAGAGATGTGATGTAATCAGAGGGAAGGTATTAATTAGAGGTGTGTTATAATCAAAGGAATGTAATAATTAGAAGCATGAAGTAATTGGAGGAACTAAGTCATTAGAGGTTTGAAGTAAGTAGAGGTAGGTTGTAATTAGAGAGATGTAGTAAAAGCTATTTTGGCGACTGGAAAATGTGCAATTTAGTTTTGTTTAAACATTTACACACTACGTCAGCTAGTCTTGTCTACGCCTACTTTCGTGTTAGGGATTATCTAACTATCCGTCTTATTATAGTATAAATATTTATATAAATATATTTGCTTAGCGCTCTTAATGATTTGCCAAATTAATCGAAGGCTCTTTGCAGTACTTGTATGATAATCGTTCAATAGACGATTGGTCATTGTGATAATGCCGAAGGAAACAAGCTGCCAACCATCACGGCATCCAAGGTTCCTTGTGTTGCGAGGAGGCAGTTGCTTATTATTAGATGATTAAAAATAGTATGGTATATATGTATACCGATATAACTATTATTTTATTTCAGGTGTCTTACACCAGGAGACTGTGATCGCTCCACTCCACTTAATGATGTCTGCATTACTTTGGGATGAGCTTCTAAATTCAAGAGTGTTATTACAAGTATGTTGAATTGTTTCATTTGTCATCAATTCAAATGGTCACTTCCACTGACTCTTAACTTTATCTAATGTACAATTGATAATATTAAATGCTTATATTTTATACATAATTATCATCTTTACAAAAGTATTGAAATAATGCCGAACATTTCTCGAATTCAAAACCGATGAATCTAAGTCATGATATGCACAAATAAAATTACACGGATACCCTGTATACCCATTAACAACAGAAGTAGAATAAGACCATGTGTTTCGGAAGAACATGTGTCAGATGCTTTATCGAAAAATCAGCCATGATAATCTAGATCAAATTAAACCTGAGAACTGAGATGCTGACAACAAAACATTTTTTTTTTTCGTTATTTGAAATTATTACAATGTTAATTGATTAAATCTTAACATGAAATTAAAAAACAAATGATCATAAAAAAAAAATCAAACATAACAAGACATGTTAATCTTATAAAACACCCACAAAATACTACGTTTTCAATACAGCATATGCATTTTCTTAATTAACAGGTAATGTCTTTGTTTTAATAACAATACATACTAAATGTACAATCTTAGATACTAAATTATGTATGCAAGTTATTCATTGAAAGCATTCTTTTTATGTTATAAGGAGATCCTAAACATTGTTCATCGGATACAGCTTCTCGCAGACATCAAGCTAGAACAGTCGAGTGGAACAGCGGTCGAAGTGCCTTTTTGTATTTATAATGACCTCATGATGACCTTCAAAACCATTCAGATACAGAACCCATCGTGCACTGGTGCAAAGGAAGGGAAACTAAAAGCGACGCTTCCGTGGCTAAGGTGTCTCCTTATTCTTGTAAGTGTTTCCTAGTCTCATTCCTACTGGTATCTTTCGTCTCTCGTATTTCATTAATACCTTTGAAAAATGGCGAAGATTTATGCAATATATCGTGTTATTATCGCAATAACAATGTTTGATACCTAACAAATTATGCAAACGTAATCATTTGTTTCAAAAATAACAAAAACGAAATGCTGTTTTTTTCCTAAGGGGAACTTACCTCACACTGTAGCAGAAATATGCAAAGGAGGTAAGTAGTCGTTGTTTGTTATGTTTGTTATGTTTAGACTATAAACGGGAACTTAGGAGAATGCTGTTTCGATTTAAGGATAGACGTTTGGCGACAGACATATACAAATCGGTTAAAACATTGATATTATGATAAAAAATTACTTTCCCTAGATGAACAATGTCATTTATTTTTATTGATAAGTTATAAATTCGGAAGATCCTTTCATTTCATATAGGTGTTTTATACAGTAACATTTTCATTCCTGTAGCAAACATGTGAATAAAACAATTTGTTCCTATTATAAGCATATTCATTGACACCACAGAATGTAATGAAATTGCACATCATCTAAAGTCCATTTAACAATCTCAATTAGTCTGTATTTTCCTAATGATTATCTGTTAAAAATACATTACTTTGGGGGGGGGGGGATTTTAATATCGTTCTCCTATGGGCACTTCTATTTTGACTGGAGTTCTGCATGCCTCTCCAGAGCTATTAAAATAGAAATTAAGCTCTTCATGACCTAGGCATATAAATAAACTTAAGAAAATATGTAATTTCGTAGCTTTCAGTTCGACCACAATAGAGACTGACATGTTGTAAGTGCGGTTAACTATTGAGATATCTGAGATATTTGAATTCCAATGTTTAATTTTATTCTTCAAATATAATTTATCAGGTGATTGAAATTGAGATGAAGAACGTTTTTCTATAAACATCTTGATCATGAAGCATTCCGCAATAAGCTACAAAACATGTTAAGATAACGACAATTATTGTCTTTAGTCCTGAAGGAGTATCCTGACAACGCTTCAATCCTTGAAATATGGGCACGTGCTTTACTTGAAATGGGAAAACTGGATCTGGCGCTAAGAAAGACAGAATCTGCACTTCTTTATGTGAAGGTACTTTGGTCGTTGCTATTATTTAACATTATTCATTACGTCCATGCGTCCTTGACCTCATTTTCATGTTTCAAGTATGCAACAAACGTGCTCATTTTGATATAGATGTTTATATACATTTAAAGTTAACATATGGAACTAGCACGTTTGAATTATCTCCGATAATTTATTATTTCAATTTATTACTACTAATAAATTACTCGACGTCGTCAAAACACATTTGTATTACATTTTAACAGAATCCAAAGCAGAAATCTGAATTGGAAGTATTACAAAGGGATCTTACCGCAGGTGTTAGGACATCAATCAAAGCAGTAGAGGACAGCTCGCCTATTATGTCGTGGATAGAAGGTAGCAATTACATGGAACCTCATAGGGTAAGTTATTTCATATCCAGTCATTAAACATCGTTGCTGATCCTGGTCCTTATTTTATATTTTCATATGTCACGTAATTTGAATCTATCAAATCCATATTTTTTGTTTTAGATAAGCCGTTTATTTATAACCCGCTTTCACCGAAACGGGGATATTAAGTTGGGTTTGCCTATCTATCTAACTGTCTGTCTGTCTGTCTGTCATGCTTCGTTTCCGTGCAATTACTGTGGCAATGTTGACCGATTTTCTTCAAACTTGATAACCGAGTTAAATGCCTGTAGGGCTCGACCAAGTTCGATGAAAACTTTCAGCAGACTTTATTTGGCGGAGTTATAGCCCCTTGAATGACGAAAAACGTCATTATCTGCCGTTTCCGTGCAATAACTGCAACAAATGTTAACCGACTTACTTCAAACTTGAAAACCGGGTTAAATGCATTCAGAGCTCTGCCAAGTTCCATGACCACTTACAGCAGACTTTTTTTGGCGGAGTAATGGTCCATTGAATAGCGAAAAACGTCATTATCTGCCGTTTCCGTGCAATAACTGCAACAAATGTTAACCGATTTTTTTTCAAACTTGGTAACAGGGTTAAATGCCTGAAGGGCTCAGACAAGTTCGATGACCACTTTAAGCAGACTTTTTTTTGGCGGAGTTATGGCCCCTTGAAAAACGAAAAACGTCAGAATCTGCCGTTTCTGTTCTGTTTAACTCTCGCAAATATTATCCGATTGTCTTCAAACTTAATAGCAGGGTTCAACGCATAAAGGGCCGGCCAAGTTTGACAACAACTTTAATCGGACTCCATTTGGCGGAGTTATGCCCCCTTGATTAACGAAAAACATCTTTATCTGCAGTTTCCGCTTAATACAGTTGTTGGATCGCACAACGTTACAAGATGTGCGGTGTGCGCACGATGTGTGCACGGTGTGTGAACGATGTGTGCACGAAGTGCGAACGATAAAAAATTGGACGATCTTTGCTTGCGCACATTTGTGCGGACGATCGACGAACGTTGTGCGATAACAATCGTGGTTGGTGTAAATTTAGGGAATGGCTTAACAATATTTACCGTTTGCTGTTTAGACATATAAACTTGATTTTTTTAGTATGTTTCCTTTCCTATTCTAGCTTCATCTACAAGCTTATCTTTCTGTCTGTACTTTAGAAATGGCGTTTTCGGTGTTTTTTAAACGACCTTACAAAACAGCCTCGGCAACACAGGTAAACATAGCCACTTTGTACCTGCACCGTAGTTTTCCCCCGCCCGGGGCACTTACGTAACGCGCCAAGGTGTGAAACCAGTTGAACAGGAGCTTTAGATTAAAACGAATGCAAATAACAAATACTAAACGTCCAGTTGTGTTTTCATAACGGTATACGGTATCACATATCAGCTCTACCCGTTAGGCACAGGCCAGGTAAAACTCCGGTCACTCATCAAATTGTTATTTATCTGTTCTGTTACCTAGCTAGGAGCCAAATCTATTCTTGACACTCTAACGGTCACTGTAATACTGTGTTACATGCATTGTAAAATTGTTCATAATGTTAATTATGGTGATGAGAAATTACAATAATAAATACAGTGTAAATTATTGTATACTAGTATGAGCCTTCCGTATTTTTTCATTCCGTAATATTGATCAACAAATTGTACCAAATCGCACAGTTGTGCGGAGAGAAGCGCAGAACGGGGCGAACGATTGTCAAATCGCCCAGTTCTGCGCACCATGTGTGGACGATGTGCGGACGGTGTGTGAACGATATATGCACGGTGTGCGCACGGTATTTTTGGTGCGTTGTGCGGTCACACAACTGTAACTCTAGCAAATATTAGTCAAATTCCTTCAAACTTGATAAGAATGTTTGTTTTCCTCTGTCTTTCTACCCATCTCGGGCACTCTTTGGTTTTCGTGTGATAATTGCTTTAGATATTATGCAGATATTTCAACCAAATTCCGTATGTGCACCCCCGACTCATGCTAAGTTTGCAAACCGATGTGATTTGTGCATATTTACGGATAATTAATGAGGTTAGTAAATTCTGATGGATTAAACGATTAATTTACACCGTAATACCTACATGTTCAATAAAAAGTCTAACTTCTGTATGAAGCTTTTTTCGAGTTTCAAGCTATACATTATGTCTCAACAGCACGATACTCTCATATTTAAACCTGGCCTCAATAATGTTTACCTACAATATGTCCTGCAAGCGGGGGATATAAATTCCACGAATTTGCTTGTTTATTTTACAGAACAGCCCTCAAGTTGAGAAATTGAAAGAAAATCATGTCAAGAAACCCCATCGTAGGCGTGAGTACAGCTTTACGAAATATAACATGATATTAGAAGACGAATCAGAAATCAAGTGTGTTCTTGAAAGCTTTAATAATATACTATTGATCCATTATTGAAGCTTCGTTTTACATATGTAATCCAACAAAGGTGTTGTTTTTTTTAATTTTTAGCCAAAGCTAGGAAATCGTCCTTGCCTACTTGGCTAGACTTTGTAAGAGAGGTTGACAAAAAGAAGGAAAAAGCACGTTCAAGTTCAGCATCGCCTTATCGGGATGGTCATATTAAGAAGAAACGCCGGAGACGTAATACAGCTGGATCCGATATATCATCGACTGGAAATGGAAAGAGCCTACAGCAAGTTTTGCTAGAAGAAAAAGTCTACATCGCAGGCTTAGGAGAAGGCGACGACCACTCAATAGAAAGCGATGAAGAATTTGACGTTTCAGAAATATTAAGATCGAGTATATTTGATTTGGACTTAGGAGACCCTGACGAAAGCTCCGATGGGGAATCCATAAGAAACGCTGATGTTGAATCAATGTTTGAACAAAGTATTGATGTCGACACAGAAAACGCTGAGGAAGGCATACAAGAACGCGAACAGCACTTGATCATTCATGGAGCGGAGCTATCTCCTAGATTCATTGCCAAATGTGCCTTTCAGGACAAAAAGAACTTTTACACCAATAGCCTGTCGATTGACGAGCTCAATGCTTTGACCAGAAATAATCCAGGACAATTCAAGAAATGTACGCTAAAGATAGAATCAGCTCACAAGGCTATATGTGGACTGTTACAACCAGAAGGTGACCTGAAGGAAATAGAGATCAGCGGCAGATCGAAATGCGGAAAAAACTTTATGGAAGATGAAGTTGTTGTTGAAATACTTAACAATGACCGAAAACAGTCTGGTGTTAAACCACGCTTAAACAAAAGTCTGAAGACCGCTACAGCACAAACAAAATATGGAAAGGTTGTTGGTAGACTGAGTAGGAAACGATTTCGCGACATAGAACACCCAGTGTTTGTTTGTGGACTGGATGAGCTTGAATACCATTTAATGCGACCGCTCGACAAAACCGTGCCTAAGTTACACATATTCAAAAAGCATGTTCAGAACAATTTCCAAGTCGAGGTTTACGATTATGACTCTAGTTCTTGTGATTTGAAATTTAGCAATGTGGTTAACATTAATCCTGCTCAAAAATACAGTTACGTATTTCTTGTTGTATTCATACGCTGGGATGCAGTTTATCCTCTAGGAGCAGTGATCAAAGTCATGAGATCTGACGGCGGAATAAACAGTGGCTTGAAAATTTTAGAGTTGCAGCATCAAGTGCCAACAACCTACAACTATGATACGGTTCAAAATGTTCAAAGTATCATGAGCACAATGCCGGAAGAACCTGCTCCAAATCTAACAGAAGGTAGAATAGACTATTCGGAATCATTGTCCGTATTCACGATTGATCCGAAGGACTCGAAAGATCTTGATGATGGACTGAGCATCCAACGGCTTCCAGACAATGTTTACGAGGTCGGAGTCCACATTGCAGACGTTACAAGCTATGTACACAAAGGAGACGCAATTGACAACGAGGCGAAATCTAGGGCAACAACATTCTATCCAGGACACGAAAAACGACCCTACCATATGTTGCCCGAACCACTAAGTCAAAATCTATGCAGCTTACTCCCAAACAAGAAGAGACTCGCTCTCTCTGTTTTTTTGTACTTCAGTGCTGAAGGAGAGTTAATCCGTCAACGCACAAGCATAAAACAAACCGTAGTTAAATCGAGAAGACAGTTTAGCTACCAGGACGTGCAAGATATAATCCTTGGTCCAACGGTTGAAGAAGAAACAATTTCCTCTGATATCATTGATTTGTTTCGAATTGCAAAGGGATTACGCTGGAGAAGACTAGGTGACTCGATGCATTCATTTCCAATAGAAGTGGATTTGCTGAACGGGAGGGAAAGCGAACGATTGTTCGACACTCTAGAGGCTCACTTCCTTGTTGAAGAATTTATGATATTAGCAAACATGACCGCTGCCTCGCTGGTGTGCTCAAACTTTAGGGACTGTGCTCTGTTGAGTTGCCAGAATGCTCCACCTTCTGAGAAAGTGAATCAATGGCTGAATGATTATCCACGGATTGCTGATGTCATTTTGAAACTACAGAACACAAAGCCAACTCAACAGCGACAACTTAAAATAGTTAACGCTCCAAAGGCCATGGACAGAGTCGTGATTGAACTGCAAAAGTGGATCTGGTCTTGTTTAGAGCAACATGTCGCAGATGGAAACTACAGGGATGCATGGAAACTGATCGGGAGTGATGAACTCCACCCAGAACAAGCAATCGCATTGAACGAATGGATATGTTTTCAGGAGCACGCCGAGTACAGATGTCTTGGCTCTGTTAAAAGCCGTAAGGAGAGGTGTCATTTCACACTCAATATTTCTCCGTACACACATTTCACGTCACCGATTCGACGATATGCAGATATAGTGACCCATCGTCTTGTCCACGCTGCCCTTAACAAACAAGAAGTACCCTATACGCGATGCGAAACTGAGGATATCTGTTACCACATCAATGAGGTTTCAAGAAGGGCGAAACAGTACAGTAAGCAATGTAGAGCTCTGCATTATGGCCACGTTCTGCGACGTAACCCTGCCATGTTCAATGGCTTCATAGAAACAGTTTCCGATAGATGTATCCAGCTCTGTATTCCAGGGATGCAAGGTCTACCACCAAACTGTAGGGAAATGCCACTCAACCTACTCGGTGTGTCACGGAAACCAAAAATAACAACAGACCGAGATGTTGATAGACCATTTGACCTTCTGACTTTAGCCTGGCAAAAGCGCCTGTACTCCCATAGAGGCTATGCTCCCTCAGCGAGAGGTCTTGATGAGATTCGGGTTGATCCACACCAGAGAGCCATCTTTCAACAATATTCACGTTGGCAGGATCTTCTGAAGGCCTTGGTTCACGGAAACATTAAATCGCTACAGGATACTTTCGCTGCAAACGCTGACTATCAGGAAGGCGATCAACTGAGACCATGTGTTCCAGCATGCACATCGACGGTCGTTGACGTAAGTTCAGAAGTCAGGCTGGGGGCCATTACAAAGCATTTCTGTGAGTTCAGCATGTCCTTCAATCATGCTCAAATTCTGTTAGTGCAGATTGGCGCAGAGCCACAGAAGGGAGTACTTGTACCAACTCCTCAGGTCTTAGAACTTACAGACAATTTCAAGTTGTGTTTACAGCACACAAGTGACCCTGTTAAATACTTGGCTAAGTATGCGACAAAAACAAACAAAGCATATCCTGAAAAATACAATTCCATAGCCGAATATCTCGAAGTATGGCTGTCGCTGGTACGCATGGAAGCTGCAACTATGGCGGGGCACGATGACGCAATCATTGTCAATGAACTCCCTGTTAAACTGAATGAAAAAGACGGTACTTTTTCAATGACCATGGATTTCTGTGAAGACAGAAATATTGACTTCAGTAGCATGTCAATGGAATTCGTTCTACATGGAAACGAAGATGACGAAAATAGCGATGAAATAAAGTACGTTCCTAGTTCAGACTTCCTTTGTCTGAAGTGTCGTTACGAGGTAGATGACGTCATCTACAAAGGTCTCAAAGGAAGCCCAGGAGAACAAAGGATATGGCTAGCGCACGGACAGGTGGATAAAATAAAGAAAATGAAGAAAATGGGAAGAATTGAAGTACACTTTTTGCTTCATCCTTCCAGCCAGAGCCTACCACCACAACTGATGAACAGTGAGAGGAAACCTAAATGTAGCGTCGAGATCATGGCGAAACCAGAATCCAACAGGTTTGTTCATGTTTATTTAATACAGAGTTACTTTTATATTTAATTGATTTTATTTTAGCCTCCTAATTTCATTGCAATAATTGTTTAAAAAACAAATCACCGTACGTTATATTCAAAACTAGATCAACTGAAAACCGATGTTATGCAATCCGAAAAAAATATTTTTATGACATTGTTTTCCAATTTTCGTAGGAGAACGGAGGCTGCCTTACTTTGTTTGGATAAGGCAAACGGTTTGGCACAGAATATAGCTAAGGGATTCAAGATTCCAGCCTTAGGTTTGTAATGAATATTTTTTTATTTCATTATTAAGAAATTTCACGACGATGTTGCGTTATCAGGTTTTGATAGTTTCATATTTGTGGTATGACGAGTTCCAATACTAGTACTAGTAATCAGGTTTCTATTTAGGAAATAATGAGTCTTATACTTATTCGCAGTTAAATATTTTCTTTGTGATCAGATTTTATTCTAATTCTCAGGCTTATGTTGTGATATGGCTTTCTTAACTAATAGATTGTTTTATGTTTCTGATATGATGAGCTAATTTAGCAATACTCAGTTGTATGTTTGCGACATAATAATCTCCTATACCGATTTCCAACTTTATGTCTGCAATACTTTACAAACTCTTTTACTATCTCTTAGCATTATGTTTTATGATATGAAGAGCTCCTGTTCCAATCCCAGTTTCATGTTTGTGAAATGATGACCTCCTTTTATTTTTCTCAGAAATAAAAAAAATGTGTGTTAAGGAGTTTTAGAAATATTTATTATCTAAAAAGATAAATTAGTGACAATAGAAATACTCATCACAGTTAATAAAGCAGTTCTGAATCTCAATTTGTGATTACATATTGCTTTGTTTATCGTGAAACTTTGTTTTAGTTGTAGGAAATTATTTCTTAAATAATCTGTAGTGATTGTATCTACATGAAAGATCTCCATTCCTCTGCCAAACACTGTAGAAATAAATCTAAAACGTGTTTTCAAGAATGGGCATATCTTTGAAAATCATTTTTTAAAATTCCGATACAATGCAAAACTTTTGATAAAATAAATAATAGATAAAAAAAGGACAAAATGAATTAAAGTGTTCCACGTGTAAATATGCAACGGGGCTAGACCAGGATTCGAACCGTAAACCAAATTATTATTCTGTCGCCCTAGCCAACTGAGATTCCTGTTCAACGGATGTATGCTGACCCAGAGATGGGAGGTTACTTTAGAGGTTTTGGTTTTACAGAAATCCTACAGTGTAATCTCTGGTGTTTTGCCTCCAATGGCAAAATAATACATTTCTGATTGAAACTGTGCTGCAGATAATCTTGTTCTAAATGCTAGACTTTAACTTATAGACAAAAATCATTTGGCGTTAGCGAGAAGAATGGAGGTAGAAGTTGCCGTACCAGGCCTAGCCTGGAACAACTCCAAGCAAACTGAGGCTATACGAAAGGCCCTTACCAATAGATTTACCCTCATTCAAGGTCCTCCAGGTAATAAGGATTCTACAATTTTTAATATATAACATCATTACGCAGAAGAAGAAAAAATGGCGTCAACCCTTCCCAAGCTCCTTCGAGTTTCGCTTTTACTTTTGTGTCTTTATAAATGGATTTCTGTTGCGTTTGGATATGATTTTATATTGATGCTCAGTATATTGTTGTCTAAATTGTGTGATTTTTTTATTATATTGATTCTTAATCACATGCTTATATCAACGAATTTCAGGATAAACGCCAAATATTATATACATCGAAAATATCGCTATTATTATTATCATCAAGAAGATGTAATGGACATTTTCAGACTGTAAGTGCACCATCTAACTGTAACGAAAATCTTATTATTCTTGTCATTGCAAATCCTTTAAGATTTTTCGTTAATTGTAGGAACCGGAAAAACTTTCACTGGAATAAAACTGTTGTATCTGTTTACCAAACTGAACAAAGTGTGGCACCAAGAAGGCAACCCATTAAAGCAAGTTGTCTTTTGTGGCCCATCGAACAAGTCGGTTGACCTTGTTGCAAGTATGTATTTTATGAGAATGTGTAAATTGTTGTATATTGAACATAGGATTTCGAATTGCAGATGTCTTTTTTAAAACTGTTTCAAGATCATAAACAATTTTTAAAATAGAATTCATCAATAGATTTTGTTTGCAAGAAAACAATAAATCTTCAATAAATGGAATGAATTGAACAGCCTTATATATTGTATAAGTTTATCACAAAACAGAAAAAAAATCAATGTATATTATATCTTGCAGGGTTGACAAAGAGAAAACTTGGCGAAGTGGCACCAAGAATGGTCAGAATGTATGGCTCTTCCCATGAATGTATGGACTTCCCCATTCCGGGAAAGTCATTTAGCAGTAAATCTGGCAGAGCTAAAAACCGGCCAGACAAAGATCTTCAAGACATCGCTTTACATCGTTTGATTCGGAAAGAGGGCAAACCTCACGCTGATGAGATTTTGGCATTTGACAAATACTTTCAACAGTTTCGTAACTGCCCGTCAATATCTGACCTCGATTTGGCGAAAACGTTTCAGAACAAACTGAAAGAATACAAATCCCTTTTGAGCAAGGCAGGTCAAGAAGAACTTCAACACTATGATGTCATATTTTGTACAACCGCTATGACTACTAACCCCAAATTCATCCGTGGCACGAAAAACAAGATTTTCCAATGTATTATAGACGAGAATGGAATGTGCACCGAACCAGAAAGTCTCGCTACAATCATCGCCACAAAAGCAGAGCAGGTCGTTTTGATTGGAGACCACAAACAACTCAGACCTGTGGTCATGTGTCAGCACACAGCAAGACTCGGGCTGGAGAAGTCTCTCTTCGAACGGTATTCAGAAAAAGCCGTATTTCTGTCAACACAATATCGAATGGTATGAATCTAATATGATTTGTTCTAATGTTAATTTTCCTGTGATTCATTGAGGGTACGATATTAACTTGACAAGGTATTATTGCAAATGTGTGGTTTGCTTAGTGACTTGCAAATAATTTGGCAAATGAAATGAATCTGCTCTTAACCTCATAAAACCCATGAAAGTCAGAAACGTAGGTTTTCACCTAGAACTGTGTCATTTTCCTTAACTTATCAGCTATATTCCTAGCTCTATTTACCACATTTACATGTACTTGTATTATTCATCCTTCCCTTATAGTTTTATTATCACTAGGACATTAACATACGTAACCGTGACAGAAAACGTATTTACTGATCCCATTATGTTTCAGAATCCACGGATCTGCGATTTTGTGTCAGCTGAGTTTTACAACAACAAGCTTGACACTGCTCCGGTTCGTGCATGGAAGGAAGAAAAACCCCTTAGCATCTGGAAGTACCCTGATGTGCCTCACATCTTCTGCCACGTGGAAGGGGAAGAGGAATATCTAACAGTTTCTACAGAGGAGGGAAACGAGCAGTCGTGTAGTAACAAAGCGGAGGTTGAGAAAGTGGTGAGTTTACCTGTTTTTGCTAGGTCTAACACACAGTTCATTCATGTTGCTGATTCTTTTCAATTCATATCGATGTTCCTTTCATATAGCAGTGACCAAAACATAGAATAACTTGATATCTGCTTCTTTATAATCGCTCTTATTATAAATTGCTGATATTGTTTCAGTTAATGATAACACGTTCAATTCCTTTAAATAAATGTCAAAATATAAAAAAAAATACAACTTAATGTAACACATGCATGTATCAACATGTCTGATATCGTAGATGCAAGTTTTCCGGCGCATGATAAAAACAGAAGGAGTGAACCCTCGGTACATCAACATTATATCACAGTATAACGCCCAGTGTCATGCCATTACGACGGCGTTGGTTGACTCTGGGTATATCAACGGTAACGTCAACACTGTCGTCGCCAGTCAGGGTAATTACTGTTCTTCTTTTATACGTCATATATGTAAAAACATGCAAACACGAAAATTGATGGTAACTCATTTTAATATATGCCTGCATATCATCTATTTGAATTTGCTTACATTTATATAAATCATAACTATAATTGTAGAGTTATATTACCAAATTAGATTTTGATATTTCCATAGACTATGTCCATCAATATACACAATTCTTTGATTTGTTACGAATGTGACGTTATCTTGTTATTTTTTAATTATGTTCGTATAGTCCTGTATAGTCAATTATAAACATAAATTTCATTTCAGTGATTTCATGTGTATTTACTTTTTTGATAAAAGTATATCTGTATTTATATCATGCTGGTATTTTTAGGTGGAGAATGGGACTATGTCATTTTCAGTACCACAAGATCCCTGCCAGACTACAAGATTGAACCGATTCCGACCCTTGGCTGGTGTAAACAGAACCTTGGCTTCATCACAGACGAGCACCAGATCGACGTAGCCCTGTCTAGGGCTCGTAAAGGCCTTGTCATCATAGGTAGGTAATACATGTTTGTGGATCGATGTACATAAATGTTACACAAAATGTTTATTGTATCCGAATGAATTCGTATACTTTTTGTATGTTTTCAAAAAATGATAAAAATAATGATTCGTATAATGATAAAAGAAATAATTGTCTGTTATGAAAAAAGGTTATATATACGTAACAAGACTTTTGTTCTCCATGGATATGAATCATCTGAAGTACAAGCATGTACACCTGTAAATATAAAAAATCAAACTGAAAACAGTTTGATTGAAGAAAATGTGTACACTTTAAGTTGGCTCTTTCAAATTAGAATTAGTTTAAGGATGTGTGTATTTTCACGACAGCTTTGTCATTCAATTCTTTCCGTCAAATATGTGTATGCATATATCTGGTACAATTTCGTTTTAGGAAACGAAAACCTACTGCAATGTCACAAGGTGTGGAAACACCTTCTGGATCACTATAGGAAAAGGGAATGTGTTGTGGACGCCAGAGAATTTCCGCCTCGCACCAAGACTCGGAACAGGAGGAGGAGGGGTGGTGGGTATGCTTCACGACAAACATCGGAGGAGTTTTATAAAGATACCGACCTAGGTTAAACACATTCATGTCTCTGTCCTTGGTAAAACAGCATCATTTACCGTTACGGGAACATGACAGCCTTGAACAGATGCCATATTTTTATTTTGGTTACATTGTATATAGAATTGTTTCCGTTTATGAACGACACAATCGCTCACTTCTTATATGTTGCTAGTGTTGTTTGAAGACATAAATACATGCGAATCGTGACAGTGCATATGAGCGATTAGAAGAATAAGCAAATATGTCTTGTTTATTTATATATTTAGTTATTTCATGCATAAAGTAAACAATCGTGTAGTAGCAAATGAGATGTTCTGCGAGATTGTATTTGCAATCTAGATCAAACTGCTACTTAAATAAAGTGTGATACGCAAACAAGTTCCATAAACTAAGCTGTTATAAGTATATCCTTGAAATATAATTAATTTATATATTGCATGATGTATTTTCGACTCGTAGCTGAAATATGTGTACAATATCATAACTTGAGTGTCGAAATACTGGTTCCGGTTGTCTGACCATGGTGGTAGGTAAATGTTTGATACATCAAGCCTTATTTGATGGCTTTCTATTCTGTCAGAAATATTACATTTATTTAAGTGACTCTCCTAGTACCATTAAACGTTTATAGTTATTTTTCCTTTTTTACTCATCTTATTAATTTAAGCATGTAATGTATATTGTGTATATGTTGTAACAGTTTAAGGAGAGGAACAGGTACTCTGAGCCTGTTGTTAGATAAGTCACGTTTCTTATATGCGAAAAATTGCTAGATACAGATTAGTTAGACGCAATGTCAGTTTTCTGTTTTCAAATTGTTACCTCTGTGATATTACTAGCAATCGCTCACTTTCCTAACTAACCTTTCCATTTAAATCAGAAGAAAAATGGAAACGAAAAAAAAATACGGAAAATCACCAGCATTTCGAATATTATTTGTAGTACCCATATAACAGTCATTTATAGTTTTTAGTAATAATCACCATATACCAGTTATTGATATGTTTTAGTATTACGTGTAATTCCAGTATCCAGTAACTTATTTGGTTAGCTTCAATAAGAATAAATGATGCTTCAAAAAATAACTGTCAGCTAACATTGTTAATAAGATTTATAGAATATATATCTAAATTACAAGACCCACATAAAAGCTATCAAAATGCATTCATAAAAGGTCCTTGCTGTTTAAGTAAAAAGCGAACATGATGGCACAATTTTTGAAAAACTAAGGAGCCAGATAAGTATGAGTGGTAAGTTCCTTAATCTGATTCGTTTCAATATATTAGCGTGGTGTCGAAATTGTTCATTTTGTAGTGTTACTTGATTAGCAATGTTAGCTGTCGTGTTAATGTCACAAAGAAACTCACACAGCAGTAACATTGATAATCATATCTCATTTTTAGGTGTTTTGTTTCCTGTATGCTAAACTAAACCAGTTCTAAATGTATAAGCCATTTTGATCAAATTCATATATATATGATACCTATTTTAAGTAGGTTTGCCTCAGCAAACTAACATTCTCACGTGTGATAAGGGCGCCATTTTTATTTCCGTCCACATTTTAATCCAATCGCAATGTTCATCTTCTCTGCGCTGCTGTAAATTCATGTTATTGTTATAATTGGTATATTGATTTTATTTCCTAGACGAACGTTTTAATTTTTTGGAGGTATTCTAGGTATAACTATAAAGTATAATATCACATGTTGTAAATATGTATTGTCAGTTGCATTCTTACCTGAGCTAGAAATGAAATGTTTTATTTAAATAAAGTATCATATCACATGATGTAAATAGATATTGTCAGTTGCCTTCCTACCTACACTTGAAAGGAAATGTTGTATTCCCAGACAAACGTTTCTTTTTTTAAGTATTTTAAGCATGACTATAGAGTATAGTATCACATGTTGTGAATATAAATTTTCAGATGCATTCGTACCTAAACTTGAAATGAAATGTTTTATTCCCAGACGAACGTTTCGATTTTTTGAAAGTAGTTTAAGCATAACTAAAATTAATAAGTATAATATCACATGTTGTACATATATATATTGTCAGTTGCATTCGTACCTGAACTTGAAATCAAATGGTTATTTGTAAATAACAATCTTATTTTATCTCAAGTACAGTTCATACAGCATAAGAAAATGACCAATGAGGAAACCGGTGATTATGCAACCAGTTTATAGCTATAAACCGGATGCTTATAAACCTGTTTGACTCTACTTTTATGTTATATACATTGTGTAGTATATTATACTCAATCAATCAACAAATTAAAATATGTATGATGCAAATTATAATTATGCTTCAGTTAATGTTTCAAGTCATTGTCTTGTCCAGTATTTAAGAATACGATACCCGTGTGGTCAGTACTTTTTGGAAGGATGATTGTGTGCCTATTCATGGACAAAAAAGATACTTGACTGACTCTTGTTAATCTTTTATCAATTTCATAACATATATTGTAATAAAATTAAATCAAATCAAAAATTACATAATCCATTACTTTAGCCAGTTTTGAAGAGAATTTATATAGGCTTTGCCTGTTATTCCATCCAATTGACTGGAAACAACTTGTCAATAAAATTTGTTGAAATGAAATTAAGACATTTTTAGCAAGTGTGAAACTTATTGATATTTCATAATTTTGGAACCAATATGACTTTTACGTAAAGAACGCATCATCCTTTACAAGTACATAGTGCACTAAAACATCATTTTTCAAAAGAGCAGCTTTTGATCTTTCAAATTCGAGTGCAGCTGAAGTTTATGTTTTTATATGGAATTTTTATGTGTGGCAATCATGTTTTTCAGAAAGTATTTTAATGATTCATTGATTTCTGTCTTTCTATTTGCTGTTTTGATCAAGTATTTTTATGAAAAAGAAATATTTTTTCCTAAATCATATTGCTATCTAATAAGAACTATTACAAATTCAATGCATAGGTATTCAAAGCCTCATTTTGATAACCATCGTGCATCACAAACTGATGACGTCACCGTTATTCTCTACATCATGATCTATGTGACACATGGAATCGTATAAAGGGAATAACGTAGGCCCACAGCTATGTATTGTCTTTCTGTTAACAGACTTGACGTCGTGCCAGTTTTTACTGTTGACTTGATTTAACATGTAATGCAGAATTGTGTTACTTTGTGTATATTTGACGTCATATATAATTTGATGTAAAGTGTTTATATAGGTAAGGTATTTAATAATTCATGAAATATGTGCCAATATTGTTCTATGCAGGACAGAAATAACGCTTAAGACACGTTAGACTGATATTACAGTATTTCTCAATTATTGCATGTTAAATGTGTTATGTTTTTTTTTTATTTAAGTTTAAGAAACGAACTTTCATATGTATAAGGTTGATGTCTAGCTGAGGTAGTCCTTATAAATTTTACTACGATTGTGAAACAAGTAATTGTAGCTAATGTTGATCTTTTGTTGGTCCGGATGCTAGCGTGCAGGGGATCTAAACGAGGGAGGAATCCGGAGTACCTGGAAAAAACCCACGGAAAGTTGACCCATCACCTTCTCACGTCTGATTGGGGAGTCGAACCCCAGGCCATCTTGGTGAAGGGCGAGTGCGCTATTCATCGTGCCATCCGACCACCCATTTGGATGTTTATCTATAAATAAGAAAGGAATATCGAACTTGGTTCAACTTATTTATTCATGAATATTATTCAAGCTTGTCATTGGATACACACTAGATTGCTAACAAAGTTTTATATACTGTATACTTGGAAATTTACCCAAAGGCCAACCTTCTACTACTCATCCATGGGATCAATTTTAACCCCGTGTTACTATCGCCCTTCACCTCCTCACATTTAATTACATTGTGTATAATGTTGTTTACGTTTATTCGTTGTAATGATAAATGTGCCCACTTGACGGAGCGCGAAAAAATGCGAAAATTAAACTGCAGCAAAAGTTTCCCTGAAAACAATATTACACTTTCCATCTTAAAAATTATGAGATAAAACGATACAGGATTATCAATTACTGCATCTACTTGTAATTTCAATACCAAATTATCATTATTTGATGTTTTACTTGATACGAATTTGTAAAACATTTTATTTTTTATTATACATTTAATATTTGATATTGATTTCGAGTAAATATATATGCATAACGTATAATCTCTGTTGAACGGGTTCTCTCATATTTGTTGATCTCATAAGAATGTAAGAAACTCTTGACAACAACAATGTTCATGATTAATGTAATTGTATGCGACATTTCTAGCATAACTGTATACCACAACTTTATCATGAATGTAAATAAAATAATTTTCAAAACAAATTCTAATGTTATGTTTTTCATCGAATGCAAATGTAAACTAGTGGGTAGAGTACTCGACACATCAATATACCAATACAGTACCTGCACCATTAAGGATCCCTGTCCAACTGTTCTGTAGGTTTTGGTATATACAGTAAGTTCCCCTTAATTTTATTTTGGATGTCACTGTATGACAAATGGACCAAAACAATTCCGTTGACGAAGTGGCTAAGTTGGTAAGAGCGATAGTATCTCAATTTGTGGTCTTGGGTTGGAATCCTTGTCTTGGCCAACTGATTTCTTTTCAATCAGAACAGTGGGTTTTTTTCCAAAAAAAAAAAAAAAAAAAAAAAAAACATTTATCTTGTTACTTTTAATTGAAGTCCCTCAGGATTATAGACATGTCGGCAAAATCGATTTCCAGTGCTTAGTAACTGTTTTTGACAGTGGTACGAGGTTCCTTAAGGAAAAGTTCAATTGTCATTAGATGGTTGGCCAATTAAATCGCAGGTAGTCTATGGTCATTCTATCAACAATTCTTATTATCGATATTTCTCAGAAAGTACTGGATGGATCATTCCAAAATTTATTATATAGGCTCCGCTTTGTTCTAGGTTGTGCACGTTTACTCTTTAAACTGATGGAATAAACAATATGGTCGACAGGCAACCATCTTGGATATTGACAGTCAAGTGTGTTATTTCTTTTTCTCCGAAAATGTTAAAGGAATCTTTCTCAAATTTAATATGCAGATTTCCCTTGGTCCTTTGTTGTGCATATTAACTTTTGGGACTGATAAGAAAAAGCTGTCATTTGGGATTTTAAAGTTAAAGTTTGTTATCGCTATTTCTCAAAAAGTGACGGATCTTTTTTCAAATTTCATATGAAGATTCCCTTGGTCCCTAGTTATGCATGTTTTATATGGAGAATGATCATAAAACAAGAAGGCCGCCAGGCAGCTATCTTGAATTTTGAAAGTTAAAGTTTGTTATTGATACATATATTTCTCAAAAGATACTTGACAAATCCTTTCATATTGAGACTGATCGGAAAAATAAAATGGCCAACAGGCAACCTTTTTTGACTTGCTGCATTTAAGTTTGTTATCGCTATTTCTAAAAAGTAGATACATGCAGTTGTGGGATCGCACAGCGTTACACGATGTGTGGTGTGCGCACGATGTGTGCACGGAGTGCGAACGATAAAAAAAATTGGACGATCATTGCTTGCGCACATTTGTGCGGACGATCGACGAACGTTGTGCGATAACAATCGCAGTTGGTGTAAATTGAGGAATGGCTTAACAATAAATACGGTTTCGTGTTTAAACATATACACTTGATTTTTTAGTATGTGTCTATATTCAAGCTACAGTACATCTGTAAGCTTATCTTTCTGTCTATACTTTCTTAAATTAAGAAATGGTGATTTCGGTGTTGTTTAAAGGACCTTAATCGACACATGTAAAATTACGACACAGTCACGCAACACAGGTAAACATAGCCACTTTGAACCTGGACCGTAATTTTCCCCCGCCCGGGGCACTTACGTAACTAGCCAAGATGTGAAAAACAGGTGAAGGGGAGTTATAGACCAAAGCAAACGCAAATAACAAATATTAATCGTCCTGTTGTGTTTTCATAACAGTCATACGATATCACATATCATCTTTATGTGTCAGACAAAGGCCAGGTAAAACTCCGGTCACTCATCAAATTGTTATTTACCTGTTCTGTTACCGAGGAGCCAAACCAATTCCTCACAGTCTAACGGTCACTGTATACTGTGTTACACGCATTGTAAAATTGTACATAATCTTAATTATGGAGATGAGAGAATTACAGTAAAATATATACAGTGTACATCATTGCATACGAGCCTTTTTTATTTTTGTCATTCCGTAATATTGATCAACAAATTGTAACAAATCGCACAGTTGTGCGGAGAGAAGCGCACAACGGGGCGAACGATTGTTAAATCGCACAGTTGTGCGCACCATGTGTGGACGATGTGCGGACGGTGTGTGAACGATGTATGCACGGTGTGCGCATGGTGTTTTTGGTGCGTTGTGCGGTCACACAACTGTATGTTACATATATTTCTCCAAAATCATGAAGGTTCCCCTTGGTCTATAATTGTGCAAGTATTATTTTGAGACTGATCGCGAGATGGCCGCAGGAGGTCATCTTGGACTTTTTTAAGTACTAAACAGACATTTCTCATTTTGCAATGATCTGTTCTTTTTCTTTCACATTAAGTTCTGTAATAGTAAATATATGAAACGACAAAATCACTTTCAAGGCTGTCTTTTATCCACAGCAGGATGAAGTTTAGATCAAAATTTACCCGAAGGTGCATTTACTGTTTACACGACTCGATCAAACACATAAGAGAACAGAAGAGAAAAGATCGAACTGACATAAACCTCATGAAAATAGTACGATGCATATTTTAAAGAGGCGAACAGTTTATAAAAAGTCAAATCGACCAAGACTACGTACTCTAGGCCAATATGTTAAATATTACAAACTTGCATTCAACTTGGTTTGAGCTAATCAGAACGCAGAATAATTCCGATAAATTAATACGTTAAACTGATGATATTACAGATTTGATAGAAAAATAAACATTTTGCAATAGTTAAATACCTGAAGTAATTTGAAATCGATCTGTGTGGAGAGTATTTCCTGAATAGCGAAGACGATACAATTGTTTTCTTCCAAAAATAACGTTTAATCACCATATAATACTAAGTTGATAATTATATGATACGAAAGAGTTTCAATGTACGGTTGTTTGATGGCCATGTGTTAAGGTATATCTCAGTAGGTAAACATAAGTGTTTCAAATTTTACAGCATACACAAAGATGAGATCGAATAATTCTTCTAGATACTAAATGGAGTGTTTGAAGGTTTTCAATTGTTTTCAAAATAGTTGACAGATTTGTTATCGTTTCGGAAAGAATGGTACATGTGATCAGTTGTTTCTCCCGCCACTGTGGTTGGGAGATAAGCATGTCCCATGCGGAACGCTCGCGTGGGATTAATATAATCTCTTCTTAGGGGTGAGAAAAAGGGTTCTAAACCCGATGGGGAAGATTTTTAAGTTTCTCTGTTACTTAATCGATTAAGAGTGTATCACAGGGGTGAACCATCTAGTCACTTGTCACTAATTCGGCTAGATGTATGTCACAGGGGTGAAACAGCTAATTCCCTGTTACGGACTCGACTAGGGGTGTTTAACAGGCGTTTACCAGCTATTTCCTTGTTACTTACTCGACTAAGGGTGTATCACAGAGGTGAACAAGCTATTCCCCTGTTATTAACTCGAAACAATGTCTGTCACACTGGTGAATTAGCTATCCCCCCTTGTTGACTTGGAGAAAATCACAGGGGTGAACTCGCTACCCCCTGTTACTGACTCGACTAGGGGTGTTTAACAGGCGTTGACCAGCTATTCCCCTGTTACTAACTCGAAAAAATGTGTGTCACACTGGTGAATTAGCTATTCCCCCTTGTTGACTTGGGTATACATATATCACATGGGTGAACTCGCTACCCCCCTGTTACTGACTCGACTAGAGGTGTATCACAGGAGTGAACTCGCTATCCCCCTGTTACTGACTCGACTAGAGGTATTCACAGAAGTGAACTCGCTATCCCCCTGGTACTGACTCGACTAGAGGGGTATCACAGGAGTGAACTCGCTATCCCCCTGTTACATGTACTGACTCGACTAGAGGTGTATCACAGGAGTGAACCACCTATGCCCCTGTAACTGACTCACAGTGGCTTGATACTTACACATCTAAAGAATATCACAGCGATGCTGTCACTTTTAATAACTCGACTAGGGGTATCGCAACAGTTAATTAATTAGTCACTTGTTACTGACTCGATCAGAGGTATGTCATAATTGTGATCATCTGGTCATTTGTTAGTGACATGGTTAGAGGGGAACACAACTCGCCGTAAACTATTCGGTTGTTTCAGGTAAAGGAAATCTGGTGAAACGCTGGGCCGATACTTTCCTTTTAAAATTGAAAAGGAGCATTACCCGACATCAGAAAAAGTCAACAAAGCCGTTACAGTGCCGTACGAATCTTTTGGTGTGTATCAAAGGATCAAACAAGCCTATCTGCATCATCCACAAGGTGATGCGTACAGAGCCTGCGATTTCCTCATGACGTATTCTAGGGTACAGAAAATGTTACCCGTGGAATGTTGAGCATGTGAACAATCTAGTTGCTTGGTCCAGACACGGCCATACGCCGATTTTCGTACAAAGCTAAATCAGTAGAGTACTGAGCCATATTAATCGTAGTCCCGGATCACAATTCGCTCTGAAAAGCGACTTCAAAAGGTGTCCACGAACCAAAACTAAAATGTCACTAAACGTATATTTTACGGTGTCTGTAGTCTCAGAAATTATACGCTAGTTTCTGTAAAGGGGCGGTACTTAACTTCGCTTCAGAAGTTTTAACCATATACATACGGTATAGAATTAGTCCCCATGACTGTTTAGTGCTATATATATTCTTTATGACTGATACATTTATAACTGGACCTGATTGAACTGTACATAACGAATAATGTCTCAGCTGACAGGCGAATGTATCATACTCCTTGGAATAAAATTATATTAAAACTGTTGAAGAATAAGACGATTTTAAAGTTTTTAGTTTTCTAATGAAAAATTTCACTGAACAGCCCTTTTTTAATCAAGATATCACACTCTTTTCATGTCAACGCCACGACAAAACTGGTGTCAAACATAAAAATAAGTTTGTAGATGACGTCATTGTATAGTACCCATTTTGGAGTGTAGTATTTGTCATATTTATAACCTTGATTCTCGCGACTCATCGGTTTCAAAAGTTACAATATTTACAAACAATCCATTACAATACCACCACAACACTATACAAACAGTAAGGAGAGTGTAACCAATGAAGTTTACTGCTCTTTTCTTTTATTTATCGCTTTTATATATTTGGCCAAATGGACTAGTTCTACGTAAACAGTCAATGGATATGCTAGCCATTAGCACATACTAACCGGTGTCTACGCGTACCCTATGCTATATCGACAGGTGTTTTGATGAGTCATTCAGATCTTATCTGTGAGTGGCGCAGGTAGGTACATATGAACTTGTTTATAGTACCTATGTTATCGTGGGACGATTTACGTTATAGACTGTCTATCTAGTCTGATTAGTAGGAATGCACTTCCCCTTTCATAGTGCGTATTTATCTGTAAACACCAGTCTATAAATAGGTATTATGTAATACCAGCTTCACGAAAATCTGAATATTAAACGCAGCTTTTAGATATTGCTGGATACAATATTTAAGTACTGTATATTATATCTTTTAATGATTAATAAAAAGGGGTGCAAACACGAAAGAATATAGCATTGCCTGCACATACTTTGAGGAAGAGAATTCAGGTTATGTGAAACGGAGAGCTTTTCCTACATCCGTCTGAAAGTTTCCAATGAAACTAGGGTAATATGTAGGTCATCAACAGGTTTAACACTTTACAATTACTTCCATCATAAACCAGGCTATAGTTACGAATATACCATGTTCTCGGTGTAGATTCAATCTTCTCCGGTAGAGAATGACGACTACGTAAATATTTTGTTAATGATGTGTTGACACTTGGAACTAGCCTTAAGTAGCGAATCAAAGGTGACATGTTAACACAATAGGAATATGACGGTAGAAAGATAGTGATCATGAAAATAAAGTTGTCACGTTTGTCGTAGAATTTGGTAATTAAGAGTTTTATCTCTTCTTGGTCGCGTCATTTTGTTTAATTTTTTTAAGTTTTATCCAGTCAACTAAGATAAAGTTATTTTAGGGGCTGCCAGCGTTGAGATGTCCGGGCTCAGTGTTAGGGGCTGCCAGCGTTGTGAAGCTTAAGTTTCAGCTTTACGAAAAGTTTAGTTTCTTAGAAAGGGTATCATACACTCTCACTAGTTTGTGATTATAGCGATATATTGTTAATATAGTAGTTGTTCAATATTTTTCTTGAAATTATTCCTTCAAGCATTCACTTTTTTAAAACCCGACATCCCGGATGCATGTCACTAATCATGACCTTGTAAGTGATATACTTTTACCGATTTATCCAAAACCAAGACTTTAGGGATTACGCATGGATAAGCAAACCAAGCTATGACGATTTAATTGAATTTGAAATATTGGAAGACATCTATTAGGAATATACTTGTCATGTGTTTTAACTTTAATTCTGTATAAACGTGTTTGTCTCTTTATATGTATTAATTAGTCACAAAATTAATATATTCTTCTTGTGACAATTATATAATCACATAAAAGAAAACACAAAATCGACACTCTCCTGTGCTAATAAGTAGGCACTACCTACTAATACGTGTAGAAAAATCAGTAGATATCATTCCAATTTCACGTTCAGCACTATTAGAATACGGTATAAAACGTCAGTAGGACCTGTTGTAGGAGTTGCATAGCCCGCTAACTGAACTAATTTTAAAAAATCGAGTCATGGTCTTAATAATACCAACATAGAAATTGATTGCAAATATCAATGTATGACGTACATTTATTGATTCTCTAGAAAATACCCGATTCTTATGAAACGAAACCGAAATTGGCATTTTTTCAATAACTAGTATCGATTTATTTCAATTCGCTGACATAATACATGCATGATCTATTTCAATTCGCTGACATAATACATGCCTGATAACAAAGGTGTATATTGTGTAGGTGTAAAAGCATACCTGGTAGGAATGGATCACAGAGGACATAAACATGTACATCCGTACATATACGTTGTAATGAAACTGTAATGTGTTCGATTTCTTAACCCTTCGAATGGAGAGAGGTAAGTACAATGTACTTATATATAACTAGTATTACCTTGTCATGAGAGTACATGTATTTCATATGGAACGCATTGAACCACTACATTTTTGTATTTAAAATGACTGCGTGTATATGCTGCCTAGCCGATATATAACGTAAAGTCACTTACTGTCAAACATATTAAGGAATGAACAAAATGCACCGTATTTTTTAACGGCATCGCCAGACAAAAAATGCTCATTCCTTTAATTAAGTTAAACTTTTACTCAAATAAAGTTATGAGAATTGACAAAAAAAGTATGTGTTCTTGGTACGCATGTCATTGCAAGACAAAAATATGGTCATTACTTCTAATTTAATTTGAAGAAGAAGTATCTATTCTATATAAAAACAATTTCTAAAGCATGTTCAATATACTAAATCATATTGCTGATAGTAAACTCGAGAAAATGATATACTGTTCTAGTTAGCTTAAAATAACAGGATGTCTTTTTTAGTAAATATTATGTCACCAGTTAGTCACTAAGTCTATTAAAAGACACGGAATTCCGACAAACTCAACTGTGTATATATCCCTATCAGTAAATATTGTCATTTTTATTATACACATACATGTATGCCTCTCTACATGTGTGTTGTTATTTCATAAATAATACACTCGATGTGTATTTATAGGCCAGTGAAAATTACCTCTGTGGACGTTTTCTGAAAACATGACATATCTATATACTACTACTTATGTAATGCTGTATTTATAACTGACTGGAAGTTTTGTCTGTACTTCCTATATTATATCAGTAAACAGAAAGTGCCATAGGGAGTAACACGCATCGACCCTGAAGGTGAAGTGAAATAGCATGTTCTTTTTATGTTGTCGTTATATATATTTTCTATGGTTTCTAAGTTGTAGATGTTTTTTACTTATAATTGTTTAAGTTGTTTATGTATCTGCTCTCACATAGTTAATTATATCATTGGACATATGCTTTATCGATACATACAACATATTGTAGAAATATATCAGATCATAGATATTGTTCTTGATATTATTAACATATATATATCTAAACATTAAAAGTTAATAATCGTACATAGTATAGCTCAAGGGTGATCAGACGCATTGCATATTGATGAAATCTTCAAAAAAAAGGAGGAAGGTAAGAGAGAGGCACAGTCGCATCTTCCTGACAAAGAGTATCCTCGCTCAAATCAGATAATTTACGAACCAATCAATTCAACCACTTGCTTCCGGTTTTTTTAAATAATGTATTGGTATGCATCCTTGAATCGAAATATTCCTACCCAACTGAGCACCTATATCCAACACTTACAGACGTTTTTTCTCGTGTCTTTGTTTTCTTTAGATGATTAATGCGATGAGGTTTCAAAACCAAAACAGCCGCTTCATTGATATTTGACGACAGGTAGCATACCAAAGATAATGTTGGTAACACCCTTTCGTGAACTGTTGTGAAGGAAACAATGGCTAAAGCTATGGATCCATACTCTTCTGAAAGTGATTGCACGAAAGAGTTCTCCAGCTCGGAAGAAGATTATGATGAACGGATACAAGGTCGCTCACCAGAGTTAGATAATACCATCGGAGGAATTCGTCTTTTAATTCACGACAATTTGCTAGAAGAGGCAAATAAGCTGACTCTGGAAACCTATAATCGTCTAGAGCTTTCCTATAAGTCAGAAAAAGATCGTGAATTTCTTGACTATCCTCGATATCTGCTACTTTGTGCAGAGTTGTTTAGAGAGGTCAGTACAAAAGATATAAAGTAATGTCAAAATATATGCCTGAATAGTAAGATTAACTGATACAATAGCCTTATAATACAATTAAAATTGTAGTATGTTAAGCGATATATTCCAAAACTTTGAAATAGTCTCGCTTGGTTGATTTTGTATGATAAAGTCAAGATTTTAAGCATGTTTAATTTCAACTTTTAAAGTCATCTAGTTTAAGTTGTATAATGTATTGTATAATTAACTCTAGGGCTAGTTATATCTGTATATTTGCTTTTTTTTCTTTTCTTTTTTTTTATATTCAAATCAACGTTATGATATTACCAGAAATCAAAACTAAATAAGGGATGTGCAAATAATTATAATCATGCTTAATCAATGATATAAACATGTAATTGGCAGTTAAATTTGTATGTCTTTCAGGTATCCAATCATGTAATGGCCCTGGAAACCTACTACACAGGTAATTATATGTGCTATAAATTCGCAATGTTCAAAGTAATATATCGAGTCATATTGCGTTCATATTGGTGGTAAGAGAGATACTATTTTTATTGTTTCCTAACCACGTTTAATTAGACATATCTTGTTTAGATCATATTGAATTGGATTATTTTTTCAGAACCCTTAGGTGGTGATAAGTTGACTATATTTTATATGTAAAACTATTGCATTCTGTTTTCTACATAATGTATTATATTGCACAGTTTTTAGATGTATGCACTCTTTTCTAATAAATGAAAATTTTAAAACATCTGCTTTAAAAATTTTTTTACTTCCTCATATCGCAAAATAGTTGTATTTGCTATCTGGGTCAAATTGCCATACAAAGCAAAAAATATGTGTGAGCATTTATTATACTCCATATACATCATTACATTATCACTTTAAATTCTCATAATTCCGAATTTCGATTTTCTTTTTCATTTTCAAGTTATTCTCCATCAACATGATGACGAGTTGGACTTTCAGGAGCACATACACATTGCAAACATCCTGTGGAACGATGTTTTCTCTTCAAATCTTCAAATTGAGGTACGGGAATAATATGTAATTGTGAAGTAAAATTTAACAAGGAAGAAAGAAGAGCAAAAGCAAATAAAAAGAGAATCAAAACCATATAATGTAATATCGTCAGATAAAATGATTATAATGACTGAGTTACGATACATAACAAAACTTGATGTTGACGATATCTCCACTTACAATATTTCTAAAAACATAGCACACTTGAATAACTGACAATGTATGAAGACTATATAGAAACATAAATTGAAATATGAATTAAAGAAATTATAACTGTTCGAAATATTTTATATAATAGGTAATATATAGTTATTTGTTCATAGGATATATCAAAGCTCGCTAAGAGGCTGCAGGTAAAGGCAGATGTTCATCAACAGACAACAGGAGGAGGAGAGTACAACCTAGCGTATATGTGTATCCATAGCGGGTTGCTTCTAACTTTCAAAACGTTACTGCAGAACCATAGGGCACCTCAATATCTCATGGATGCAGAGATGAAATCAACCATAGCGTTATGGAGATGCCGTATATTCCTTGTAAGTACATTTAACGATTTGAAAACATTTGTACGCATATATTTATAACACCTTATTATTCTAATTATCATATTCTCCTCGCTAAATAAAGTAAATTGCCTTATCGAGTAATTGTTTATATTCATGTATTTTAAAAAACGGACTGTAATAAGTAGTTGAAACTTGTGTCCCATTCCTTTGTGAATTTTATTTGCAATACAATATGTTTAAATCAAACTAAATAAAGTAGATAATTTGGATAATCAAAGAAACAAAATAGTTTCATTTGAATTTTATCCATTTCATTTAAATAGATATATTTATGTGATTATGGAAGCATGCATCTTAACATGACCATTTTCATTTCTATTCAATTTTTACATATTTACATTTATTTCTTTCAAATTCATTTATTTCATGTAAATATGTTAAAACAATTTCTTTTAAAGGGTGATACGTCTCAAGTTAAAGAGGAATGCAAAAGGGGTATGTATTATAATATTATTCCTGTATTTACATAAATATAACATCCATGTCCATGATAATAGAGGTATGTAATATCTAATACTGGTGACATATATTGAAGATCCATAAAGATCTGATTAGATTATTGTTGACTCATTTGAATAGATATCGTGAAGCTCTAGATGTTTTACGCATAACAACACAGATGCAATGTGTATATTATAGATCATAATCCTAAAGAAATATTCTTTTCTCCAAGAAAATAATTATTGATTACAGGCAATTTAAAATATATTATTATTTTGTTATTAGCCAAAATGAATGAAATGTCGTTATTATTCAGTGGATAGAATCAATCCTGAGAATGTGGAACTGTTAGAGATATGGGCTCTTGCACTGAAAAAAGAGGGGATGCTCGATGAGGCGCTGAAGAAGACGGAATCAGCACTGGTGTTTGTTAAAGTAATTTGCCCGTTTATCAAAATATATCAGAAATATGTATATCCATCTCCAATATCAGCAAAACCAATAGAATTTGAAACATGAGTTGCAATAATACGTTACCGTTTGGTATTGAATAAGCATGTTACACACAAAAAATGAGACGACAAGATTTTCATAGATAATAAGTGACTGTGTTGGCATACATTACTACGTCTCGTTTTTATCAAATAGTGTCTGACACATGCTATGCTGGTTATTTGCAAGGACTCTTTGTTTCTTCTACAGTTAGTTTGGAAGTTCATGACGTCTGATGATTCCTCCGTTTCTGTAGTTGTCTTTTTGTACCAATTTGAAGTTAAGGTTTGTCCTTGTCTGTTTACGATGTGGTACCTTTTTACCCTATTGCCTTATGAATTCCTTCTAGAATCAAATTAAAAAACAGTCATTGGAACGGCTAAAGATGTCCGTAGTCGCTGCAATTCAACAGGGAAGTAAAATGCAAGCAAATATGACTCCAGACGAAGATTGGTTGTCTGGAACAAACATTACCACACCTTCCAAAGTAAGTTTATCAAATTAATGCAAATATACCATGAGAACAATTTTTAAATGACACAAATGGTTTTAATCAATGCAATAAATCCATATTTGCTCATTCTTAGATAAAATATGAAAAACATATCACCATCGTTTACGTTATATTTTTGTGTAAATTTCAGAAAACATAATGAAAAATGCTTTTTATTTAGTTAAAAAGGTTTTTTTAATTCAATTTAAAGAAAGTATTGATATGTAGAATAATTCGGCGGAAAGGTGACTAATGTTTAAATGATCTGATCTTTTATTTAGAATAGTAAAAGAATAGAGGACCTGAAGAGAATGCATGTCAAACGTAACAGAAGCAGACGTAAGTAAACGAGAATAATTACTATTAAGTAGGATTGTCAAAACAGTCAAATTTTGGTAACCAGTTACTCGAAAAAAATTCCGATCGAGTAACAGGTTTATTGGTCAGAATGTCAAATGTCCTATTTAAAAAGTATTTACACAATATGCATACATGTCTATATTAATCAGCATGATACCTTTCTCCTCGTATTTCAAGCTAAACGCAAGAAATAGTTACATACAACCTCATGTTAGTAAATAGAAAATATGTATATTTCATGGACAACAAATGTCGGAATACAGTTAAGCGGGATTCATTTAGTTATCTCTTTGTTGTTTCTGCTTCATTTATATAATTCAAGTGTGTACTCTTGATATCATATTTACATCTAACCCGTAATAGCAAGTTCTACCTCGAAAAGTTGATGTTTCACAGCTTTGCATTCTGATTTTCATTTTAAATTAGGTTTAGGTTTTTATTTACCTTTACAATAGAGTACAAAAACAACGCTTACAGGTCAGCTTGAATACTGTTTTGTATTGAAAAAATATCCGATGACAACCCAACTATTAAGAGATGTATTATTTGTAGAAGTACTGATAATTGATATATCAACAGAAATTATATTGAGGCGTTTTCCTAGTCCAGCCATTTGGTGACCGACAAATAACTCAATAACTCATTACAGTACAAAGAATTTATTTAGAACTGCCAGAAACTAAATATACATACAATTGTCTTACACTTCCTTTAATATTATAAGCTTGCGTAAAGTCATATAGACCAATCGTTTTTTAGAAGTAAATGAGTTTTTCATGTTAAATATTCTAAAATGTAAGGCATCATTTCTTCAAGCATGCCCTATTGTAGTATGAGTTAATCTTTCATACTTAAAACCACCGTACCATCAAGTTACTGTAACATTATCCCCCATTTTCTATCTTTGACCTCTGTTAACTATTTGGACGAGTGACCCTGACCCTGTCCGCCATTTTGACGTGCAGATACACCCAGTCTCTCGCAGTGTTTTTCATGCCATGTTTACCCGAACATTTACGACATAGTCCCACACGGTATATTGGTCAGATCTAGAAAAAGCCCACTCGCCTTATACTATGGCGGCCGGGGATCGATTTCCCGACCACGTGGGTCTTCTCCAGGTACTCCGGTTTCATCCCACATTAAGATCCCCCGAGCACAAAAGTCTAGTGCGGTTCTCGAAATTTTTCATCTAACCCTGGTAATATTTCGTATTTACCACAATAGTACCAGCATTGTTTATCCAGTTACTGTCATATTATCCCACATTTTCTATCTTTGACCGCTGTTAACTACTTGGTCGAGTGGGAGTGACCATGTCCGTGTTTACACGAACAACTACAGTTTAAGATTTTCTCATCACATTTATTTAGATTTTTTATATGAATACACTTGACTACAAGTATTCAAGATCAATTTTATACAATAACTCGCCTTCTTCGGTTATTAGCTAACCGAGGCGATATGCTATTACAGCAGCATATTGTATGGTTTTATGGTTTTTCTATTTATGTATTTTATGCTGTTGTATTGTTCTATAGTGAATCTTCTTCTTTGTTATCTGTTAGTTTAACCTTTGTTTTATTCACATAACATATGTAATACATAATACAAATATAAGTGTTAATACACTTATATAAATCTGTTACCTTTCAGCATAACCAACATTATCAACTATAGCTTAGGGATAGTGACGTGAAAAAATTACAGGGGAAGTTAGAAGATAGTTGGGGGAATGCAGTGTAAAATATGGTACATGTACAAAATACGTTATGTTCATAAAATCAGTACATTGGGGTCAAGAAAAATACTTCTGTTGCGTCATCTTTAATACACTTTATGATTGATTTTCATACTGTTTCAAGAAAGGTATATATATGTATATAAGTAAGATCTAAATAAACAAGCTGCATTATAATGCTAATATAAAATATACTCTATGATAATCATAATCATGTGGATGTTTTTTCCCTACGCAGACAGTCGTTGTGATAGACTGTTCACATTCCATACACTATTACTGATCAATTGTTCGTCACATCCCGTGCTTTAATATGTCATTCTCCTGTTCTTTCTTGTCCTCCTTGTACATCCGTTTCCACTAGACTGTTTGCATCGGGAAAGACCATCCACATGACTTACTTTGCATATGTTATATGTTATCATATGAATACAAGGGTCATTGATTAAGAATCTTATTCAAAGACGTCATAAGATAATAAATCAGAAGTCAATTGATCCATTATTATGTTAGCAACTCAGCTATCTCATCTTACATACATGTATGCTCGCACACAAACTTCCATGTATGCATCCCCACACATATCATAAACACATATATCTATCATGCATACATACATACACACATACGTACGTAAGTACATACCTACCCACCTACATACATACATAAATTATATTTACTTGCGCACATGCGTGTGCATGGCTGCATACATAGTCATGCACCCACGTACGTAAATGTATGCACTCCTACACACACACGCTCACACATCCATGCGTACACACACAGATACATGCGTACATACATACATGCATACGTTCATGGTTTGAGCTACCCAATTTGTTTTTGAAACAACATGTATACATTAATGAAAATATCATCATAATATGATATCACCCTATTTTTTTTAAATCGCTTAGACTTAAGGTGTAATCCTGAACAGCGAGGACAATTATTTTGTTTTCTTCTAAAGATAACGATTCATCGCCATATACTAATATTTTGACAGTTATTTGATACTGAAGGGTTTCAATGTGTAGCTGTCTGATGGCAGCGTATAAGGTACCATCTAGCAGGTAGTGCGAAGTGTTTTCGATGGTACCGCATGCGCATAGAGGGGATCTAGCAATGTTTTTCCTATATAAATGTTCATTAAGAGAGCTGCATGACATGCGTAGTCTAGCATGGTATATTTGTCCTAAACGTGAGCCATATGAGTAGTGTTTTGGTGGAGGTTTTTTGTTGTTGCGTTTAATATGTGAGTTAAATTGATAAATGGAAGGGTTTCTCCTGACGTTAACTGGAATAGAGTTCCAGCTATTGATAACAGAGGGCAAGCAAGATCTTTGATACACATTAGAATGACAATGAATGGAAGCGATAGTTGTAACATCCGAATGTTTAGTATTATGTATTTCAGTGAATGATTGTGGTACAAGATGGTTGAGGTATTGGGGGGTATTTTGGTAGAACAATTTGTGGAAAATAATTAGTTTGTGTTGATATCTACGTTCAATTAGTTTGTTCCAGCCTACTTCTATATACAGTTTGTCTATGCCTGTCAGTTTGGTTGCACCAGATACAATCCTAGCTGCCTCAGTATTTATTTGTTCCAGTTTAGCACTATATTCATCGGTAATATTATCCCACAGTACGTCAGCGTATTCAATAATAGGTCTGATAAATGAAAAGTAAATAGTCTGTAATGTGTTTCGGTCGAGTTTGAATTTTAGAGAACGTAGAATATTTATTCTGACTGAGGCTTTATTTATAATGTAGTTTAAGTGTTTGACCCAACTCCCGTCATTCGAAAAAAATACTCCTAGGTGCTTGTGTACTTCGACATTTGTTATTTCATCATTATTCATGCACAATGGTTGGTGATAAGGTCTTGGTTGTTTTTTACTAATTAACATACTTTCGTGTTTTTTAGGATTAAAGCTTACCAACCACGATTTTGACCAGTTTGTTAGTGTGTGTAGAACTGCCTGAAGGGCGGTTCCTGTAGTGGTTGGGTTATCGACAATCATGTATACTGATGTATCGTCTGCAAATAATTTGATAACAGAATTTATGTTGTAAACAATATCGTTTATGTGGATAAGAAATAGAAGCGGGCCGAGAATCAACCCAAGTAGAATGTGCATTATTAATTATAATTCTTTGTTTTCGATCAGTTAGATAACTTCTAAACCATTTGAGAAGGGACTCAGCGATACCTATTTGGGATAATTCATACAAAAGACCCTCTTGCCACACCCGGTCGAAGGCTTTGCTTATGTCACCGAAAATAACTCTTATGTATTTCCCTGTATCTAAAGCGTTCATAAAGTCGTTTGAAATGCTGAGTAATTGGTTGACAGCTGAGTCCCCTGATCTAAACCCTGACTGATTATTGGTGAGAATCTGATAGTAGGTAATTATATACGTATTTATACACACACCTTCCAAAGGTGTTATCTGTTGTTGTATGTGCGTGCTCATGTTTCTGTCTTGAAAAAGGAGCGGATTGCACTGAATTGTTTTTATAACATAAATGTTATCCCAACATTGTAAAGTTAATATGCCTATTGCGATTTTAATAGCATTCTTTTACTTTTAGCAAAATCAAGGCTGCAACTTGTTTCATCATTTATGGAATTACCGGACTGGGCTAATGTGAATATAGGAACAGAACCGATTACAGATCCATTTTGGTTTATTGACAGAAGTGGACGTAAGAAAAAGCATAGACGCAAAACAGCACGTTTAAGGAAAACAGTTGAAACAACAGACGTGGCTCAATCCCCTAATTTGAAACGCGAAGAGAACAGTTCAGAAGAAAATGATGATGAGTTTGAAGTAGCTGCAGAGGCAGCATATTCCAGAAGATTCGATTCAAGTTTAAAGATTGATGTCGATGAGTCAGAGCAGGAGCCATTAGTCAAATCATTCTTTGATGAAAGTCTTCTATTGCTAAACACAACGGACGAGAAGAAACAACGCGAGCAAGGTTTTCCTCTGAATGGGGTGGATTTATCCAAATCGTTTGTAGATTCCCTTGCTCCAAGAAATCATAACCAAACATGTTATATGGAGAACTTATCAGTGGAAAAGTTACAGTCCTTGCTCAAAACTCAACCAAAAATATACAAACGATGCACTCTTCAAATTCAAGCTGCGCACAATTCGGTGTGTACTGTGATTAAACCGGAGAGAAATTTGACAGAAATCGAAATCAGTGGCCGCTCTAGATGCGGAAAAAACTTTACAGAAGACGAGGTAGTTGTGGAAGTACTCAACAAACCAAACAATCTCCAACATGGTAGGAATTCTTTACCAAAAGGAACAATTACAAACGGTCAAGTTGTTGGTAGATTAAAAAGAAAACGATTTTCCAACATTGATCATCCAGTTTTAGTATGTGAGCTTGATGAACATGAATATCATCAGATGAGACCACTCGATAAAACAGTGCCTAAATTAAACCTCTATCGCAAAACGCGAAGAGAAAACCATTTGTTTCAGGTAGAAATTTTCAACTATGACGAGAAAAGCAAGACATTAATGTTTAGAGAAAATTTTAAGATCAACCCTGCAAAAAAGCACAGTTATACATTTCTAGTTGTTTACATACGCTGGGATAACGTATATCCTCTTGGAGCTGTCATCAAAGTTATTGAATCGGATGGGAATTTAACCAGCGGCTTAGAAATTCTAGAGCTTCAGCATCAGATACCAACCACGTACAAACAAGACACCGTTCAGGAAGTCCAGCGTTCGATACAAGAGGAAAAACAGGAAGAAACCGAACTTGGAAGGGACGATTCAACATCACTTTCTGCCTTCACTATAGATCCAGAACACTCAAAGGATTTAGATGATGCACTCAGTGTTAGAAAACTACCAAATGGGGAAGTCGAGGTCGGAATCCATATATCAGATGTCACCAGCTACATACAGAAAGGAGATAGCATAGACAGAGAGGCAAACTTCAGGGCCAGAACATTCTATCAAGGCCGAGGAAAGCAAGCATACCACATGTTACCGGAACCTCTTAGTCAACACCAATGTAGCTTGCTACCAAAGGAACAAAGACGTTCATTATCGACGTTTTTCCGTTTCGATTCAAACGGTATTTTGGTACAGGGGTCATCGGAAATAAGGAAAACCATGATAATGTCAAAACGCAAGTTTACATACCAAGACGTTCAGGACATTCTTCTTAATGACAAAGAATGCGACCCTTTTTCTTCAGAAATAAAAACGTTATTTGAAATATCAGAGAAACTGAGAAGCATTCGGCTCGGTGATTCGGCGAGAAGCAATAACAATGTTAGACTCTTCACGGGAATGAATCTTGATTCAACATCTGACACCCGAGAAGCACATCATCTTGTTGAAGAATTCATGATACTTAACAACAAAACAGTCGCTGGGTTTGTGTGCTCCAGGTTTCCAAATTGTGCAATTCAAAGATGTCAACATGCCCCTTCACCTGAAAGCGTTCGACGATGGTTAAAAAAATACCCGTTAATATCAGATTTGATCCTTAGACTTCAAAATACCAGTCCGTTGCCACAGCGACAGCTCAGAATCATAAACGCCAAGACAAAGACAGAAAAAACACCAATCGAACTACAACTGTGGGTGTGGTCGTTTCTTGAACAATGTGCGAAAGCAAAGGATTTTCAAAAAGCATGGGAGGTCATTGGATGCGACGACTTGCACCCAGAACAAGCCCTTGCCTGGCACGAGTGGACGTCATTCCAAGAGGTTGCCCATTACAAGTGTCATGATTCATCGGCTGACACAGGGAAAGTATTGCATTTTTCCTTAGACGTATCGATGTACATTCATTTCACATCACCTATTCGTCGATATGCAGATCTCATAAATCATCGCCTCGTCCACGCTGCTCTCGAAAACCAGACAGACCCACCTTACACGAAGTTTGAAATTGAAGAAATTTGTGTCCATCTGAACGAGGTATCGAGACGAGCAAAGAATTTTGAGAACCAATGCAAAGCCTTACATTATGGTAATTTCCTTCGGAAAAATCCTGTAGTATGCAATGGTTTCATTGACGAGGTAACTCCTGACCAAATATCACTATATTTCCCAGGAAAAATGAGTTTTTCTCGAAAGAGTAAATGCATTGCTCTCAAACTACTTCATGTGTCACGCAAACCTGAGATGAAGAAAGACGTTCAAAGACCTCTCGACATCATATCCCTGGCCTGGCATAAACGAATCTTTTCCCATACAGAAGTCGGGAGATCGAACATATGTCGTGGGGAGGTCCGCATTGATCCTCACCAGAAGACTTCTTTTCAAGAGCTTTCCCGCTGGAAAGATGTCATGAAGGCCTGTGTAAATCAAAATACAGATGAATTTCAGCAAATCATGTCTGTCAACGCCCATTATCATGAAGATGATCAAATGAGAGGACGTGTTCCTGCCTGCACTCAGACTGTAAATGACATTAGTTGCGAAGACAACAAAAACGCATTTCCGTCGTATTCTTGTGATTTCACCATGTCATTCAGCCATGCACAAATTTTGTCTGTCCAGGTTGGAGCTGATTGCAACAAAGGAATCCTAGAACCTTCCCTACAGCTCCTGGAGCTCACAACCAATGTGAAGCTTTGTCTGCAGCACACGAGTGATCCTGTCAAGTATCTGGCCAAATATGCAATGATGACTGCAGACAAAAGCAGTTTCGACAATGTTGAATCCTATCTGGAAACATGGCTGCCTTTAATACGGATGGAAGCTGCGACACTTGCAGTAAAGGCTGATTCTATCACGATCAATGATGTTCCTGTCAAATTACGTGAAGACGGTGGATCATTCGATTTACCTACCGCCTTCTGTGAAGACAGGCATATCAAGTTCAGCAAAACATTCATGGATGACATTTTGAATGGAGAAAACGGAGAAGAAAAAAAAGACCACTCAAATGTATATCAAAGTTCAGATTTCCTTTGCTTCAAATGGCCGTATGAAATTAATGACATTTCCTCTTCATTTCCGAGGGAACACCCTGAAAGAACACGTATATGGTTAGCTCATGGTCAAGTTGAAAGCATAAGAAACATCAAGGAACCTAATGGAATTAACGTTCGCTTCCTGCTACATCCGACAAGTCCTAAGCCGCCACAGCAGTTAAAAAGCAGCAGGAGCAAACCATTATGCAGTGTTGAAATAATGGTGAATCCCGTGTCAACCAGGTGAGTTATGTGTCTTCTCAATGCGACTGCTAGTATGAGTATAGTACATCTAGATATTATAACGGTTGGTAATAAAGATCCAAAAAAATGTAAAACTCGTCATTATATCGACATTCTAAATGCTTGGACCAATTGACGAAAATGACGTTAATGTTTATAACACTGGTGTCCTCATCACATTGTGTATTGCTACAATGTCGGGCCGCATTACATAATACAGGTGTAGATTGTTTACCGTTCGACTTGAAGCCGCCGTTCGCGTATTTTTATTTTGCTAGTTAAAATAAGTAATAAACAGTATTGCATTCATGTCAAAGATAAAAAGATAATAATAATCAATTACGTGTAATATTTTGACATTGAAGTCTGCAAATTGGATCTACATTTACATTGTTTTAAAAAAAATGTCTGTATTACCTTGAATCGCGTTTTATTCCTTAAGTGAAACAAGTGTAACACCATCGAATCTATGAGTTATGTAACTGTATTGCAATGTACACTGATGTTTTGCCAGACGACCAGAATCAGCTCTACAGTGTCTCAAAACCGCCAGTCAGTTGGCACAAGCGATAGCACTTGGGAGATCGCTTACACCATTATGTAAGTACAAAATTAGTTTTTTTTTTCCATTTATCTTCAATTTTGAGTAGATAATGTTTGTCTCAGTTCTTATACCAAGGAAGTGGGGTTTTTTTTTCAAAAAAAAGTCCTGCATGGGTAAGCTCCTTCACACAACTTATCAAGCAAATGTATCAAAATGAACAAAAAAGCTGAGCAATGTCTAAAATACGTCTGTTGCTACTTCAAACAAAGAAATTGTATCAAGTGCATTTCATTTTGAGTTAAACAATTCATTTAGAGCATCAACTTAAATTTAAGATATTTAGGCTCATTACACCAATTACGATTAGAAGTAAACATTTGAAATGTGTTTAATTTATTCATATAAACAGATGACGCTAGAACGACAGCGACATTGAAAACAGAAGTCAAAGTCCCTGGCCTAAAGCCAAATAACCCCGAGCAGGAAGAGGCTCTTCGCGCCTCGCTATCCCAGCAGTTTACCCTCATACAAGGGCCGCCAGGTAAAAGTAGTACCTGTAGACATCGTAAGGCTATCGGTATAGACCAACAATGGATTAATGCATTGCTGTCGAAAATCAAACTGATATTTTAGCTCTTATTTCAGTAAAAGAAAATGACTAAAGAACAAAATATATGCTCATCTTTTGAAACAGTTAGGTAACATTTCCTGAAAAATAGTATAAGGAATATAGTGAGCTCAATAACTGAATCTAGATCAGTGACTTTGGGAAAATATCATTAGGAAAAATAATTAAACTAATATTTCAAACGCTACTAAAATTCACAGGTATATTGGATTTAATTTTAAAGAGGACTTGAAATTTACATATGAGCTAAGAAGGCATCTGACTTAACATATAAAGGTGTTACAGAGCAGCCCACAATCAATTCAATCATTTTAGAAACAATTTATTATTTTCATGAAATTCTCATCAAAACAACGTTTATTGTTCAAAACGAACAGGTGATAAATAAACAGTGCTGCTGTCATAGTTGCGGTCAGTCGACTTAAAAGAGATGTTTTGATAAGTATCTTACTCTAATTGATTTATTTACTGTTTGATAAAAAATAAATCGAAATATCGATTTTCACAATCTATACAACACCTCCTCTGTCTCCATAGAATACTAAACTCCGATTTATGTCTTAAACTGTTATTTTTATAGGAACAGGAAAGACGTACACAGGCATGAAGCTTATATACCTCTTCACACAGCTTAACATGAAGGAGGCACAGTCGGGCAACGCCTTAAAGCAAGTTGTCTTCTGTGGTCCTTCTAACAAATCGGTCGACCATGTAGCTAGTAAGTAAATTATTGTATTTATTCTTTAAAAAAACACGCATGTTTAACGCCGCCAAGGAAATTGTGGCGGTCGTTTTCATACCGCCAACAGCAGGGCAATTAAGTCCAGTGGTTAATTGACAAAATCGACAAGAACCAAAACATTGCAAAAAGAGATACGCTGAGTACACTTAAATGTATTGGAGATATCAGAATATCTTTACAATTGTTATATCTTTCCTCTTGATGTCCTTTGATTATCAATCAAAAGGGAACACACTTGTATGAGGAATTATGCATATTAATATCGAGTATATTGTATAACCAAGAAGTCGGTTATTTGTCGTAAAAATAGATTGTGTGAATAAATGCAATCTTGTTTGGTTGTTGCCTAAGTCCTTAGCTCATGAAATCTTTATATAATTCTACCTGTCATAATCAACATCTTTACATTATGAATCAATATAGATCTGCTATTATTAATCTTTCAATTGTCATATTTTGTGCCATTACTCAGAATTCATTCTATAGACTGAAGGCGCAATGTATTACAATCAGTGACACTTTCCTTTAAGAAAGGCTATATGGTTACAAGGTTTACCTCTGATTTAAGAAATATCAACGTCTATCTGTATTTCTGTAACAACATGACACAATTCAGTGTTATCAGTTAATAGATATTCTCCACGAAACAAAACAAAAAATATTATAAAAAGCTATTTGCCTGTCACTGTGTGTACGTTTTACTAAATTAACAGAGTGGACACTGCGAAAATTTGGCGTGCAGGCACCAAAGCTACTCAGGATGTATAGTTTGACGCATGAAAGCTTCGATTACCCTATCCCAGTAAAAATCCATATGGTAAGAAAAGATCAACAACCTGACGAAGACTTGAGAGGCGTATCCCTCCATCACTTGATCCGAAAGGCCGAAAAGCCGCATGCCGAAAAGATAAAGGAGTATGACGCATATTTTCGCAAGTTTCGTGACCTGGTGTCAATCAAAAACTCCGACCAAGCAAAAGAATTCAAGGAGAAAATGAAGGAATTCAAAAGTCTTAAGCACCAGGCTGAACTAGAAGAAATTCGACACTATAACGTGATTTTCTGTACAACTGCGATGACAACAAATCCGACGTTCATCTGTGCAACGAAAAACAGTATAGGACAATGCATCATTGAAGAATGCGGAATGTGCACTGAACCGGAAAGTATGGCTGCAATCATTGCTACTCAAGCGAAACAGGTGGTTCTGATAGGTGACCACAAACAACTCAGACCAGTGGTCATGTCTCAACACGCTGCACGACTTGGCCTAGAGAAATCCCTCTTCGAGCGATATGCAGATAAAGCAATATTTCTAAAGACACAGTATCGAATGGTAGGTATACTTCAGTATGATGCAGCATTAAACTGATACCGTTTGGTTTGTTTATTTTGTTTTAACTTTTATTACAGCTAAAGTCAGTCATTTAAGGACGTGCCTCTATGTTTGTACTGCTTTAGCATTACCGATAAATCCTAGAAGGACGAAACAGCTATATAGTGTAGTGTTATTCCTTTTTGCATACTGTATTTATTTTCAAATTTTATAGTAGCAATCACACTTGTGCCTAACGGTCAGTACATGTTACATATAGCTTAGATTTATTTCTTATACGTATACTGAAATGTGTTTGTCTTGTAGAATCCATCAATTTGCGAGTTTGTGTCGTCCCAGTTTTACTGTGGAAAGTTGGAGACTGCATGGTCAACAGCATGGGAAGAACAAAACCCACTCCGTTTATGGAAAGACCCAAATTATCCGTACCTATTTTGCCATGTAGAGGGAGAGGAAGAATACCTTTCTGTTTCTACAGAAGAAGGGAACGAAAAATCATGCAGCAATCAGGAGGAAGTTCGAGAAGTCGTACGTATTTATTTGAATTGCCTCTGTCTAATTAAACGAATAGTAAATGTGTGCAATTGTTCAATATCGTCAGTCAGCGAAAATCCAACTATTTGATTTTATTATAGATATTTCTATCGAGAGTATATCAAAGTTGCAGTCAAATTCATGACAAGATACGTGTAATATATATGAAGTTTCATGTATCGTAGGACTTCGAAATAAAATAACAAAATTATCTAAATCCTTATAGATATGATTATCGCTTCTCGCGGATGGAAAACAGAAGGAAATATGTCCTTTTTTATGAGAAAATATTACTTACTACAGCCCAGCACAAATAAAATGTTTAAAATAACAGTAAATCGTGACAGTTTACTATCATGTATTTGATGTTCGCTGTCATACCATAACAGATCAAACGGTTTCATTATATTGGATGAACTTAAGCAAAGAGCATACAAGTGGGTTTTTTTAATTCGTTGCATTCGCAGGCTAGAATGGACACGAGTGAAATACGTGGATAGTTTCTATTTCACCTTTACTGTGACAGTTCTGCATACATGAACCAATTTTCTATTGGCGTATATTTATTTACGTTCATTTTTTTCAGGTCAACTATTTTCGTTGCATGGTCAAAAGGGATCGAGTGTCCCCGAAGAATATCAACATCATGTCCCAGTACAGAGCACAGTGTTTCGCTATCAAAGAATCTCTTGAGGAAAACAGATTATCAAACTTCAATGTCAACACTGTAGTTTCAAGTCAAGGTAAACATTGACGATTGGTTATTCATACTACAAACAGAACCAAAAGCAACTTGGCACCAAAAAAGTTAATTAATTTAATTGTCGTTATTTACAAACTGAAGGTGCCTTTCTGGTAGGATTTTTTGAAACCTGAAACCTATAAAATTATAAGTACGTTAAAAGTATTCAAATATTAATGAGCGCCAAATGAAACTTAAGATTGGTATAATATTACTGAGCGCCAAATGAAACTTAAGATTGGTATAATATTACTGAGCGCCAAATGAAACTTAAGATTGGTATAATATTACTGAGCGCCAAATGAAACTTAAGATTGGTATAATATTACTGAGCGCCAAATGAAACTTAAGATTGGTATAATATTACTGAGCGCCAAATGAAACTTAAGATTGGTATAATATTACTGAGCGCTACAATGAGCTCTATACTACTGAGCGCCAAAATTAAACAAACAGTTTATATAGATAATGAAAGTTATACGATTAACATTACCTGGATAAAAAAAAAAAAAAACATAATCAGGAAAACCTAAGTCATTGGTATTTTAACTTTCCACAACTCTCAGTGGCCTCAAAGTACACTTTTTGTGTAGAATTTTAGAATATCAAAAAGTAAATTGCCCGCGGCCACAACCTTGTTTATAAGGTTTTCACCTTGCTACTTTATCATTGCGTCAAAAACGTTCGCGTTCTCTTTGCACTTAGCTGCGCTCAAATAACGTTTGGAAATGTAATTTGTTAACCTTGAATGACAGGAAATAATGAGCATGTGACATGTGCTTGCCTAGATTTGAATATTGACCGGTCATTGACAGAGCTTACTGATTACAAATAATCACCTTTGAACAAGTTTGTGTAGATAGAACATAATTATAATGAAAAGGTTGCATAGAAATAAGTAAATTGATTAAATTCAGTGTTTTTTCTGGTGTCAGTATTACATATGGGCATCTTAAAATAATTTTATTTGTAATTTTCCTGATATTGAGTCATGAAAACCAATGTAACTATGTGATTACAACCTGTTTTGAAGGTGGAGAATGGGACTACGTCATATTCAGCACTACAAGATCTTTACCAGACTACAAGATTGAACCTAATCCAACTATTGGCTGGTGCAAAGAAAATCTTGGCTTCATCACTGATGGGCACCAGATAAACGTGGCACTGTCCAGGGCTCGCAAAGGCCTCGTCATTATAGGTGAGTAATACGAATATCTCCACATCATAGGTAAATCTACAAAGATCTCGTTATCAAAGGTAAGTGTAACAAAGATCTCGACACCATAGATAATAACTACAAAGATCTCGTTATTGTAGGTGAGTGCTACAAAAATTGCGATATCATAGGTAAGTGTTACAAAGATTTCGACATCATAAGTAAGTGCTACAAAGATCTTGACATGAAAGATAAGCGCTACAAAGATCTCGACATTGTAGGTCAGTACTACAAAGATCTCGACATCATAAGTAAGTGCTACAAAGATATCCACATCATAAGTAAGTGCTACAAAGATCTCGATATCATAGGTAAGTTCTTCAAAGATCTCCACAGCATAAGTAAGTGCAACAAAGATCTCGACATCATAAGTAAGTACTACAAAGATCTCGACATCATAAGTAAGTGCTACAAAGATCTCCACATCATAAGTAAGGGCTACAAAGATCTTGACATCAAAGATAAGCGCTACAAAGATCTCGACATTGTAGGTCAGTACTACAAAGATCTCCCCATCATAAGAAAGTGCTACAAAGATCTTGACATCAAAGATAAGCGCTACAACGATCTCGACATTGTAGGTCAGTACTACAAAATCCTCCACATCATAAGTAAGTGCTATAAAGATCTTGACATCAAAGGTATGTGCTACAAAGATTTTGACATTGTAGGTCAGTACTACAAAGATCTCCACGTCATTAGTAAGTGCTACAAAGATCTTGACATCAAAGGTAAGTGCTAAAAAGATTTTGACATTGTAGGTCAGTACTACAAAGATCTCCATATCATAATAAAGTGCTACAAAGATCTTGACATCAAAGATAAGCGCTACAAAGATCTCGACATTGTAGGTCAGTACTACAAAGATCTCTACGTCATTAGTAAGTGCTACAAAGATCTTAACATCAAAGGTAATTGCTACAAAGATCCCGACATTGTAGGTCAGTACTACAATGATCTCGATATCATAAGTAAATGCTATAAAGATCTTGACATCAAAGGTAAGTGCTAAAAAGATTTTGACATTGTAGGTCAGTACTACAAAGATCTCCATATCATAAGTAAGTGCTACAAAGACCTTGAAATCAAAGATAAGCGCTACAAAGATTTCGACAGTGTAGGTCAGTACTACAAAGATCTCCACATCATAAATAAGTGCTACAAAGATCTTGAAATCATAGATAAGCGCTACAAAGATCTCGACATTGTAGGTCAGTACTACAAAGATATCCATATCACAAGTAAGTGCTACAAAGATCTCAACATCAAAGGTAAGTGCTACAAAGATCTCGACATCATAAGTGAGTGCTACAAAAATCTTGACATCAAAGATAAGCGCTACAAAGATCTCGACAGTGTAGATCAGTACTACAAAGATCTCCACATCATAAGTAAGTGCTACAAAGATCTTGACATCAAAGATAAGCGCTACAAAGATCTCGACATTGTAGGACAATTCTACAAAGATCTCCACATCACAAGTAAGTGCTACAAAGATCTTGATATCAAAGGTAAGTGCTACAAAGACCTCGACATTATAGGTAAGTGCTACAAAGATCTTGATATCATAGGTAAGTAATACAAATGCCTAGTCACCAAATGTAGATAATTATGGGATAACATCATAGGTAGGTACTAGAAATGCTAAGTCGTTATTAGCAGGTACATTATTCTTCAAAGGTCATGCAACCATATGTATGTTATATAAAGTTCCGACAATTATAGGTATCTTTCTATATTTCCTTCGGTGTATCTATTTATTAATTTATTTACTTTTTAACATGCTTTGCTTATCGTTTTCCAAAAGAATTTTAAACAAAAATCGAAGTCCTTCAAATTAGGTATAATGATGATTTAAGTGTTTTTGTGGGGAATAAATCTAACATAAATCAGAAATATATGTTGTAAGGAAACATACATGTTTATCACTGAAAGGATCTTTGATGTCTTTCAATAGGAAACAAACACCTTCTAAGAGCTGACAAAGTATGGGAACAACTTCTTGAACACTATGAACGAAATGGATGTGTTGTTTCCAGCAGGGATTTCCTACCACGTAGACCCAAACGCAATTTTCGACACTGAGAACTATCGTAGAACATGTGCGTTGCATGCATAATTTAAAACCGAATCATTAACGAAGTTAACATAATCTTTCCACAAGTTATCTAGTTGCCGGGTTGATTCCCGTATGGAACATTTCTAGAACTTGGACGTCAGGATTTCAATGATGAAAGAGGATGTTTACCAGCTTTGTTTATTTCATTATTTCAGTTATTCATTGTTTTGAACATTACACATGGTTATCAAATGTGCGTTACATGTATATACTTTCATACATACTTTCAATTTCAAATGCAATGCATACTTCTTAAACGCCTGATACTAATTTATGTAATTCCATGTTTTAATATAATTGAAACAGCATTCCTCAAAATGACATAGATTGATAAATTCCGTGCCAATATAGCCCATCATACTTGATGGTAATTTGTCATTTTGACTTTTCCACACATATTTTGCACTGATGGATATGATAAAAGTGTTTTCTAAAATTGTATATTTTTTTGCAATTAAGTAAAATGGTAACTCTGCCTAAAGATCCCCGTCCCATTGCACTGTGGGTTTTTTTTCTGTATTCAGTCACCTCCCCTAACTTCCGTTTAAATATAACTGTAGCACAGTTCGGCTAGGACACTTCCGTAGACCAGGTAGCTCAATCGATTAGAGCGGGAGTATAACAATCTTATGTCCAGGGTTCGAATTACTGTCTAGCTGCTCCGCTTTATTTCTTTTTTTCTTTTTTTTTCTTTATCAATTCCAATAAAAGCACCTAGAGGTAAGCTTTTCTTTTTTCAGAATTTCCAAAACTATAGGCAAGTCGGGAAAGGCAGTTTCTAATTCTAGTTACAATTTTTGTCAGTGGTACGAGGATCCGTAAAACTTATCAATTCAAAAATATGCAAATAAGTTTCACATTTTATTTTGTTATTGAAAATGATTTTAGCGTATTGACCCTAGTCATTGAGACGATATAATCAAAAAGTCTAAGTTTGTTTAATTCATACCAGTCAGGTATATTCATCTAGAATTATCACCGAAACCCCAACTTTCATTCCGTTTTATAAGATAACAATCGTTTTATAAAACATGTGCTTAAAGATATCATACTTAACACAGACTTCAAAAACAATGATACTATTTGATTTGAATATGAAAACTGTTTCTACATTATTCAAAAGTATGCACCGCATCACTTTCAGTTCAATAAACGTACATATTAATCTAAGAGAAAAATATACAAATATAGGATAGCACATTAGTTTATATTTCAAATGAGATTTTTAACACGCATTTTTTGTTCTTCGATTCTTGTCCTCTTTGGGACGCCTTAATACTATAAATACGTCTGTTAAATCATTTCATCATCATTGTGTGACGTCTGAAGTATGCTACATGAGTATATACGCAAAATATATATTATATATGTATGTTGTTTAAATTATGAGTTTTGAGATGGTAAATCTAAGTGATAATAAAGAAATTGAATATTCTGAATTTATCATCTCCTAACCTCATCAAAATTGAGAGTTATTTCATAAACTTATCATTTATATTTTTATGAAAAATATATACCAATCAGTAAAAAGATAGTTGATCTTCTGTAGTCACACGATATCACTATGTTTACAACATTGGACCACTTTGCGGCATTAACTGCCGTAAAGTGTCATCCGGGTCTTTGCCAATAGTGACGATAGGTATGTTGTATTAAAGAACATGTCCTGTGTGGAACGCACATTCAAAAACGAAAGTAACTGTGCGCCTAGCCAAGAACTTTTTTTTGTGATATATAAATACATATCATATACCATATAGATCAGAAATGAAAACCTTATAATAGTAACTTTTCATCTTTTTTTTATTTTATTTTTTTCAAAAATGATAGATCTGGAAAGAATAACTATAACTCATCATTGCAATCTACTTTTATCGTCTGAGTGACTTTTTATCTGTCATATCACACATTCATGTTTATTATAAAAGTAGGTATATGTTTGGATGTGTATAAGCTTATAACAACGTATCATAATTTTACGTACTATTTTCATATACCAAATTTTATATATAACTATTTATTAAAATTGTCTTTTTTGCATAAACTAACTATTATATATATCTTTACACAATGCTTCTTAATATATACCATTTTTTATATATAGATTTGTTTAAATTCCCCTTTTTGTATATACAAACATTATATATAATTATGTATGTAGTTTCTGTACATACCAAACATTCAGTATAACTTTAGAGAATATGTCTTTTTATATATCCCAAAGATCATAAATAGCTAATATGTTATCCTATTTTGTAAATAATAAACATAATATATAGCTTCAAATCAATAAGTCTTAAATACCAAATATTATAAATAACTAATATTTTATCCCATTTTGTAAATAACAAACATAATATATGACTTCAAATCAAAAAGTCTTGAATTGCTTGCTGGTTTTTTGTTGATGTTTCACCATTTTAGACGTATACTGTGTAATAATAGTTTGAAACTCTTTCCTCTATTAACATATTCATTGAAATCCGAATTGAAGTTTATATATGTATATATTGTATACTTCTGTTGAGGCCAATGTAATCATTTATCAGGCCGAGTAAATTCTTGTACATTCTCATCTTCCTCGGATGCTAAGTCATCACATCGCCCTTAAGGTACATTTTATGCTATAGTATATGATATTTTATATGCAATATCAAAAAACATAGAACACTGTCTGAGCACAATTGTGCAAATGGATGTTTCTGATGGGTGAATTTTTTTTATGAAATTACATTATTTTCATTTCGAATCCATAATTTTGCTATATATACTCACGTATTCTTGCTAATACAATGTGATGTCAACCATAAGATGTCTTAAGGACGATATAGCAGTATATCAAGTTTAGCGCAGGTTCAAGGTGTAACGTTCGCCCTGATACAGGCTATAGTCCCCGTAAATTCCAACCACCTGATTAGTCATATTCAAGGATCCCAATGCAAAATCGGAACTTAAATGAGTAATTTTATATATTTAACTTGTACAGTATTTATTAAAATGTTTCATAGAGAAGTTAAAATAGTCAATAATAAGGCATTAAGGCTGATGTTTTCATAAAAATTGTTCACTGGAATTTTGGAATTATACAAGTCAATTTCTTTTGCGACCCAACTTAATGCTATGCAATGACATATTATATTCTTGTTTATATCTTGCCATGCGGAGCTTATTTTCGCTGTTACCAGCTGTAGAGAGGCATGTCGGCCTCAAAACAAGATGGAATGCCCAAAAATCATAGTAAAATTCCAAAGTTTTATTTTTACCTGTAAATATATGTAAAATAAAGGGCCTTGTGACCGTAATGAAAACATAACCTTTATATAAAGTTTCCTTTCGTTATAAATTTTATGTAGTTATAAAAAGCAAGACAATATATAAACATCATATCACTTTAAATTTTAAACATCACTGAATGTTATGAAATGGTTCATACAAATTCATTTATAGATTCAGGTAACTTAGCCTTTGTTTTCTTATTTATAATCTGCTTTAATATATTACCAAGGGATTTTATTATAATTAAGTGGTTTCGCATGGCAACACCTATCTATATTTGAAGCTGGTATGCCTCTAAACAGCTAGTAAAAGAGAAATAAAGCTCCCATGACATGGAAACATAAATGAACATCAGAAGTATTCTGATGAAGACATCAGCCTAAATGTCTTATTATTTACTAGTTAATCGTTCTAAGGAACATCTTAATAGCTAAAGTACAAGTCCAATATATTCAAAATTAGACTAAGTTGCGATCTGTCATTCGGGTATTTGAATAAAACCTAGGGCGGNGGGGTTGAACCTTAAGCAATCAGATTGCGGGAAAATTCTAGTCATACAATATAATTATTTACCTCAAATTATATTTATGTATTGTTGTTGCAGTCTGTTTTTTTATATATACATGTAAACAGTCGTAGACACCAGTCATTTTATAATTTGCTGTCAATTTCGTTGATATTTTGGCAATATCATTTACTGTGATATCACTTAACATAACAATTGATTAACCAAAAAGTTTACTTGTGTTGTTAAGCATGTTTACAAATTGTTGTAGTCTGTTGTGAAACTATGTACGATATGTATATAGATATATTGATACCGATAGAAAATATCTAACCGTTAATATGTACCATACTATTTATCACGTATTTATTTTCGTATTACTTTTTGTTTTGATTTCATTCTTTTCTTGCAAGGAACAAAGATATCTTTTAACTGCATGACTCATAACCTACTTTTCTAACAGATTATCTTTTAACGTTTTATGAAGGCATTTTAAAAATGAAAAACAATGCAATTGAAATTCGTGGAAATCTTGAATTATGTATTCAGAAAACTCAAAACCTTTCAACCAACGCCGATAAATACTATATTGGAAGATACCTGTTAAAAAGGGAAGTCATTCGTGCTGTTTGAAGTACTCTCCGTCCCTTGAGACTTAAAATGAGACTTAAATAAGTGTTTTTTTCTCTCTAGTTATTGTTATTAATTTGTATCGATAAAAGATATGGAAAAATTAATTGTATGATAGATGAGTGAGCAATGTACATAAAAATATAAGTATACATTCCATGATATATTTTGTATGATCTTTTTCTTGTATCGGTTTTATAGAATTTTACAAAAGAATTTTATCAATCCTTTATTTTTATATGAAAAGATTATTTTTTATGATTGAAAATGTTTACATGCGAACAAGTATGACGTAATGGTTCATGTTCTCACCGTGATACATTGATCCTACCTAGATAGCATAGCAATACTGATAATTATATCACACTGATAATACACAACAATAATACGTAACTATAAATAGAGCTGATTTCACATTGAGGCGTTGCCTTTCTCACATGTGGTCAACATTAATTGTTACAATATCTTCTACATGGATTAAAAGTATATATATATATGAATGCATGTAATACGGATACCCAAAGTACATTTGATATGACATGTATGCCATATGTCGACGACAGACAAACAAGTGCACAATTGATGAAGATTTCGGGATGATTTGAAAGTCGTATGCTCTCTTTCATAGAGAACGTTTTTTATGTTCATTGGTGTGACTTGCGGTTTCATTGTCACTGTTGCGTTCCTCACTTTGAGAACATGACCTTATGCTGATTTGAACCGAATTCCCATGACCAGTGTCATTGTTGAATCAAAGGACGCCCCTCCTTCTCGAAAACCTGTCTTCTGTCCTTGTTTTCGTAGAAGTTGAGCAATTGTTTTGGCCCCTCTTTGGTAATTACTTGTTTTTATAGTGCAGATTGTGATAATTTAGTGGTATCGTCTCTTAGCATATATTCAGGCAAAATGCAGCCCTTGCTCTATTGTCCTATATGCATACTTTGTGTCTGCTCATTTCTGAATTCCAATGTGAGAATCATGTAGTGTGTGTCATTGAACAAGTATGTACCCTTTTTCATTATTACACACGTGACATAAGTGCAAATTAATAGAACACGTATCAAAAAACAAGGAGTAACATTGAAGAATGGAAACAGTATAAAGGGCTTAAGTTCAATCATGTATGATATGTTGAATGCATGTGATGCAGTACATATTAAACAAATGCTATAGAATCACATTCCAACAACCATTTGAAACTATCCCGTAGCATCATTTTCTCCACTTTGGTCGGGAAAAATACAGTACATATTACGCATCACTTATACGTTCTTTATTACTTTCTATTATAAAGCATACCAATTCAATCACATGACGCGGGGAAATCGAAATAAAAAATCTAAGATAGATACAAGGTATAATGCAATCGTAAAATACAATCGCTACATGATCTAAAACATCCCTATTGTAATGGTGACAAAGATAAGGAATACATTAACTTGATACTACTACTTGATGTCGTTCTGTAGTAATAGACATATCCGTATAACGTAATAATGTCTTTCCGTAGTTATAAACATATCTGTATAACGTATCAATGTCTTTCTGTAGTTATACACATATCTGTATAACGTATCAATGTCTTTTTGCAGTTATACACATATCTGTATATCGTGCCAATGTCTTTCTGTAGTTATACACATATCTGTATAACGTATCAATGTCTTTCTGTAGTTATACACATATCTGTATAACGTATCAATGTCTTTCTGTAGTTATAGATATATCCGTATAACGTATCAATGTCTTTCTGTAGTTATAAACATATCTGTATAAAGTATCAATGTCTTTTTGCAGTTATACACATATACGTATAACGTATCAATGTCTTTCAAATAATAATACCGTACCCTCAAAAGGATTTCATTTACCTCGTCACGTGGTTATAGTTTAACTAACTATTATGTATACAATGTATGAATAAAGTAATATCATGTAAGAGTTAACAGAATTACATGTATGATGTTTCTATCTCATGCTATACAATCAGAGAAAATAAATTTATGTTTCATTTTATTGTGTGTTTGTCTTGAACTTTATCAATACAAGTGTGCTTTACAAACATCGTTTCCAAATAAAAGCCATAAAAAGATTAGTGTTATGATAGGACAATCATAAAAGGTAGTCTCAATAAAGTCGAATGTTATATATGTCTTAATAAGGTCGAATGTGTTATATGTCTCCATAAGGTAGTACATAATATATGTCTCAATAAGGTCGAATGTTATATATGTCTCGATAAGGTAGTACATACTATATGTCTTAATAAGGTCAAATGTTATATGTCTCGATAAGGTAGTACATGATACATTCTTGATAAGGTCAAATGTTATATATGTCTCGATAAGGTAGTACATAATACATGTCTTAATAAGGTCAAATGTTATATATGTCTCGATAAGTTAGTACATAATACATTCTTAATAAGGTCAAATGTTATATATGTCTCGATAAGGTAGTACATAATATATGTCTTAATAAGGTCAAATGTTATATATTATATATATATATATATATATATATATATCTCGATAAGATAGTACATAATACATGTCTTAATAAGGTCAAATAATATATATGTCTCGATAAGGTAGTACATAATGTATGTCTCAATAAGGTCGAATGTTATATGTCTCGATAAGATAA